AGGCCTGCGCCACCTTAAGCCACACGATGCGCCCGCAACGTGACGCAAGCCCGAAGCGAGGCGGCGCCTCACCAATCCATGTAATCCACGTCAATTTGATAGGCTATCAAACGCGTTTCGGTCATACTGATAGTTTTAACTCATTGTAGTACTTACACAATGTGTCAACGGCAGCGATATCAACCCATATGTCTTCCCTCAAAATTTGAGTACGGCAATGCCTTTGAACACTCCCGCTTCGAAATATCATTGCATCAGATCAGCGAAGAAGTCAATCTGTGTTGTTGGGATGTAGAAACTGCAAATCTTTTCTGTGGATGGTGCTTATTTAGAAGAATGAGTCCTTTTGTGGGAACTATCATCGTTTTCATAATGTTGACGTGCTCTTTCTAATTTCCGATATTCCGAGTCATTTTCTTCAAGTTTAACAAGATAATCAATTGAGCAAGAATCCCCTATCATTAAAAATGATGAGGGCTCGTGCGACTTGCGTTCCGCGTTCCGCGCACCGCTTCGCCTGGGCTCTGCACCTCTTGCGCGAGCATTGCGACTGTTCAGTACTCGAGAGATGACAGCACCGCATGCATAGCTTTGGACCACTAGACCACAAAACCCTTTATGACGCCCCTCTGCTGGGATGAATCCTCAGCTGACATCTCACATGTCAAGACATGTCAAAAGATGTTATGTACGTTGAGACCTTGAAGCCTTCAAGTGTTCCACAGATTTTTGTAAAGGGCCGGTCATACCGGTCAGCGATCCATCGCGTCGCTGACTTTTCCAAAGGACAAGTGTTACGAGTCCGGAGATAACTGCGTATCTGTGCTGGCTGTCCGGCGCGATGCATCGCGGGCCGTTTTCTACCCGGCCATACCGATTTGAGCGAAATCGCCGCGATCGTCGCTCATTCTAGCGAATTCGCGTCGCTCATTTCAAATGCGCGACGCGATGGATCGCTAGGATTGGGATCTCTTTCCAGGAAAGTTTTATGATTGTTCTTTACTTTCTTAAGCTGGTCTCGTGTCTGGGGATTGGAAACCATTTTAGATTTGTCAAAGTGCATTGGTTTTCCGTGAAATGGAAGCCTTTTGATTTATCAGCAATTGTCACTCACGCTAAATGCCTTGCACACTTCCTAAATTTGCCAGCTATCTGGTTTTCAACTGATGTGTGTTTCGTGGGAACGGCTCTACTATTAACCATTATAACGTTTCTTTGTGTTCTTTATTACCTCAGTATCCCCAACACGGGCATGACTTTTGTTTGTCAACTCTCAGGAGCTAGTTGTACATATTCCGCGGCTAATCTGCACTGGATTCAGTGATTTCAGATATTCATGAGTTTTATATGAGAAGTTTATGCTGGTAAAAAATTTGTTTCTCAGAAACGAGCGCTCTACTGGAGCGGAGCGTGAGCGATTGGAGAAACTTTTTGAGAGGGCAGTTTTTGACGAAACAAATGAGAAGCAGTAAAAGTAATCAAGGATTTGTACAAGAGAGCTCTCCGTGTCCCAAATGTGGATCTAGCCGACACATGGAAAAGTTACTTGAAGTTTGCAGGTGTGAGAATAGTAGTGTGAGAATGCACACATCGCCGCGGTGGTATGCCCGCTTATTCGAGGGATCAGCGATCCGTCGCGCGTTTTCGTCGCTAGTTCCCACCCAGTCGCGACGATCATCCAACGCGGCGATGGATCGCTGACCGGTATGACCGGCCCTTAAGAGTAACAGAGTGAGGCATGGACGATAAAACCATACCCGAAACCTAATTTATTGCTCAATATTGGTGATAAATTGGTGATTGGTGATAAAATTGCTAGAGCGACCGTAAAAGTTGACTCTACAGTCGCTTCATTTCATATGATCATGTGTGCCATTGCACACACAGTCCACTTTGGCGTCCTCATCCTGGATTTGCAATCGCAAAAACGCAAGAGACTTACCGATTGTTATCGATTACATCAATTTGAGGTGACTAGTGACTAAAAAGGAAAGAAAATGCTAAGAACACCTTGGAAACACTTACCTGAAGGCTTATTTCTCTCACCAATCCAGGATGGGGACGCCAAAGATGAACCGTGCGTGCAATGACACACATGATCATATGAAAGGAAGCGATTGTATCTAGGTGCATTTGCATCGCGAATTTTTTCTTGTAAAACGCTCATGACCACAGTTGAGCAAGAGGTCAGGCGCAAGTCTTTCAAAGACGACACTCCCCCCCCTTTCTTTGAAAGCTCCAAACGACCCCTTCTTTCTCCCCTACCTCCGAAAATTCAGAGTGTGACATTATGGAAGAGTTACCCTGTTTCAGAGAGTTTTGGATTTTTGAAAATTTTCGATTTTGTGTTATTGCACTTTACAATCACACGTGGTCTGACGGCAGATTTTGATCTGAACGGGCCTATTGAAGGAGCGAAAATTTCTCTGAGGGTGGAGGGATTAGCTCCAAATTTCCAGTTTAGCAGGGAGAGGCTATGAGCTTATCACTCATACTAGGAATGGAGCGATTTCTGAATTTTAACACATTCACGACAAGGCCGATTTTTCGATTACTGCCGTTTCGGACCAGAGCCTTTTTCACTTAGTCAAACTTACGACCCACCCGTGGGTCGTACTGTTCGAAATGGCAGTCTTTTTGAAAAAAAAACATGTCTCCGAGAACATTCCTAGAAGGATTGTCGAAGGCGCTGATTGTAAAATATGATTTATGTATATCAGTTTTTGGTATTATACGCTAATGCTACGGCAATCATTCTATACAAACACAAGATCATGGATCACCATGAAAAATTGTGTTTTGGGGTTATTTCACGTACTGATCACGATTATAGTGTTCAGTACGTTCTCACAGTGGGACTAGGGTAGTAATACGGTTGAATTTCCGTAAAAATCAAGGAACTGATATAAGAAGGCGGTATTAACGCCGAGACTGTCATTTTCGTAATCAGCATGATACAAAGCCTATATATGTAAGTGAGGTTCCTGGGATGAACAACGTGAAAATTAATAAAATCAATAAAATAATTTTTCGATGGGTTAACATCACTCTCGTGCCCTCCCGTATTTCTCCTGCATGTAAACTTGAACTTTCAAAATCGGCGCCAATCTGCGAAATTTAAGCTGAAGTCTGTGCCTTTATCTACGGTATACCTACCGTAACACTACATTACAGTATCCCGAGCCCGGACCACACTGGCTGGAGCTTCGCCAAGGTGTCCCCACTCATATGCCAGAACCCCGTAGAATTTCATCGTAAACTGGCAAAGCTGAAGCTTCAGGAATCTTACGACCCACCGGTGAGTCGTATTGTCCGAAACGGCAGGACACGTACGACCCACCGGTGGGACGTATTGTCGTGAATGTATTAAAGACAAGTCAGGGGGGTCGGGCACAAAGCTGCAGAACCTCACGCAGCCTAACCCTTTCGAGGGGTTGCGCTGACCCGATTAACTTCATTTCCGGAGAAGCTTTTTCACCCAAGTTTTAGGGGTTTGCTAGCATAAATCTCGAAAATTCTGCAAAGATGTTTGAGCTCACCTAGACTTCTTTCGTCTTTGTTGCGAGCAAGAGTTGAAGCACACAAGGCGAAAAACGTGGTAATTGGATTTTGGCAGCACTTCTTAATCCACTATTTGGAAGCGACATGAAGTGGAATTTGTACCAAAGACTGAACAAGGTTTTGCATTGCTATGGGTGTTAGAAAGCTGACACCTTTCACTTCTGTAACTAAGTTGATCATGTTTGAGAATCACGTTTTAAGACGTTGGGAGACACTAGAAAATGTAATAGGTAATGTAGAGTTCGTAGAGTCTAGGGGTGATCTGGCGCTGATTACGGCAATCCTACTTCCAAGTTACACAGTAAGCTTCTTGGTGACCTTACGGTATGTGTAAGGTAAGAGATGAAGAAGTGAAATTTGGCTAGTCTTTCATGGTGTAGTTAACCACTACGGTTCACGACATCCCTTCAGTTCTGGTGGATTTGTGTATTCACCGGTCTAGCGTTCTTGCTCACGTTACTTGATCGTAGTATTTCCTCAAACTATTGAACGAATTCGATTCTCCCTCCTCCCCCCCCCCCCCAAATTTTGAATCTTCATACCTATCGGTGGTACTGAATGACTTTAATCTGCACTAGAAATCTGTCAAGCCACATCATAAGCGTGCAAGATGGCTTTGTTCTCGTATCGTCACAGAAAGCTGAGTGCTTAAGAGAATGTTGAAGAACTATTATTGGAACAAGTCAGCCCCATAATAAGAATTATCATTGGGCTGACTTGTCACAATAATAACTCTTTATGATACCGCGATTTGTTGTACTGTGTTTTAGGGTTTACAATTGAATGCTAGCTATTCTTAGATTTTTTCTTAAGCTGGATTCTCTATGCATTTGTTGTCTCTTGCTTCTATCCTATTTATCAGTTTATTTGAATACTCGGTCCTGTCAAAATTCTTTTCTATGTTTTCGTTTCGACTGGTTCCAGTCTGGTGCGCGCTCCCAGTTACATGCCGCACCTGACTTTTTTGCTACAGAGACTTGAGAGAATGTGAAAACAAATGCTTTCTGTTGACTTTTGATCGTACTTTTTTGATGGTGCCTCCCTGTAATTTACCACTTTCTTTATCGATCCCTATCGCGTTCCTTCAGCCGTTGAAGTCTGCCCTTGTGCCTCAACGTATCTTCATTTGCGGTTTATCATAGTTGTCTTTTGCAGCTAGCACATAGCTTAGATGTAATTGTGGCAAAAATTTCGTTTTTTTATGAAGTGTTTTTCCTACCATGTTGCTTTGAAGTGGTTTTGGCACTCCTTATGCATACACAAACATAAATATAATGTTTTTAAATGAGTGTGTGCTTCCGCTGTTGATTTTGTTACATACGAACATGAATTAGAATCTGATGTGGCAGTTTGTTTCGAGCAAAATGCCAGCGTTTCTACGATTATTATTCTTTCACATCTTGCTTTACTATAATCAACATTCTTTTACTTTGAAATTCTCAAGTCAAGGAACACGCAATTTGCCATACAAAACTGTGCTGGCAGATAAATGCCGCGATTTGAGCCATCTGAAGGAGTTCTTCGCAAGCGAGCTGGTTATTCCTCATTTTCCTAAAATGACTTATTATATGAGAAGAATTATTCTGAAAAGAAAAATATTAAAAAAAACATTTGACTATCTGGAGCGTAAACCTTACCGCAAATATTCCTGGATATTTCAATAAAAAGATCATCTGAAAAAATTTTCTAGCACTTGGAGATCGTTTCTTTTTCAATTGAAAAATTTTCTAAAAGAATTATCCACAAGTTGCTAGTTGTAGATAAGTGCCTCTGCTGAAATATTGATATTGAAAAAAATATGCTCCATGTTTAGTATATATTTTGAAGTGTGAGAAAAGTTTAGATAGGGCAAGTAGTCGACGGACCTCGGCTTCACCTTCCTGGAAAAAAACGAACCGATACAAAACAGCCGTGTTGATGTACTAGATTCTACAATTATGACTTTCATACACACCTCATCTTCCTTTTCTCCATCAAGTTTCAAGATCACCTTTTCATAAATAGCCGGTGGTGGTGGCACGCCTGGGAAGCAAGGGTAGGCGTTTTTCTGGAATCTTGAAGTTTGGAAAAAGGCAAATTTAACCACTTTAGTAATTGTGTGCATCTGAGCTCAAATATGGAAACTTACATTATCGTACATACTGCGACGTTCGGCGAAATTACGACGATCGATCTGTCGGTCGTATTTTGAGGCGACTTGAACTTTTGGCTGAAAATTGCAAAAAACGGTTTGATTCAAAAGCACAGTGATACCTCTAGATACTTGTTGAGAAGTTTGAATACATTGCCCAAGTTGGAAGCTCATGTAACTTGTTCATTGCTCAAAAAAATCATGGTCGGTATATCATGGTAGTAAACCTGCCGAAACTCAAAGTTAACTCTGGGTTATCTCTGAGCTGACGCGCACCTTTTTGGCCCCCTTAGCAAGTGCTTGAACAAACCAAATCTGAAAAGCGATGATATGGCAAAATAGTCCATAAACGGAAGTTTATTCCTGGTAGAGCAACTTTGTCCATATCGTTCTGCACATGAAAACAGCGCCACCAAACGCGCAGTTGAGCTCTGCGATAACTCTGAGTTTGGTTAGAGAAAGAGAAATAGTGCACAAAAGAAGAGGGGTAGAAAAGATTTCCGGAGTACATTTTGCTCGTAGTTTCAGCAGGCATGATGGGGTTATCGTCATGCACCGTCATTTACTAGATTTTGAAATTTTGTAAAATCTTGTCCCACGGGGACAAGAACAAAATTTCAAAAAGTTGTGATTGTTCGTTGCGCTGATCATCCTATAATACTCATTTTTCATTATGGGGTCATATGAATAGATGGCCTCGGTATTTATGGTAGACGGGAATCACAAAATTGGTCGAAACTTGGACCGGTGGGGTCTTTCGGGCGCGGATCAGGGACAGTCTACCTGCTACGCACGTTGGTGTCATTTGAGGCGATTACCGTAGATATACGGTAAGTGGGATGAAGTCACGAACATGGCTAGAATTGAGGTCCAGTGAGGTTTCGGCGCATCAATAACCACTAGTTAAAAAAACCCCTTCATGCGGCGATGCCATCTGGCAGGGATACGGGCGTAGCAAAACTCCGAGCTTGAGAGTTGAAACTTGAAACTTCGAAAGCGGGACCCAGAGTTTCAATAAGCATGACTCTAAGTTTCAAAAACAGAACTCAGAGTTATTTCTGAGTTAGCGCGGAGCTTTGAACTCGGAGTTTCGACCAGATTACTACCGACCCAGCTCTAATGTAAGTTTCGCCTAGGTCTTACTCTTTCCGAGAAAAAATGGAGTACCGTATCCGAGAAGGAAATGCTTGATTAAGACCCCTCAGTCATTAGTCATACGGGAAGCCCAACCATTTAGATTTGTCCACACAGCTTTCAAGTGCAACCACCGAAGCAACAGAATTGAACAAGCTACGTCTTTGACGTGCTCATTGACTTTTTGCTTGAGTGAGCGAAAGAAACTAGTTGGAAATAGCTCCTCATTTTCAGCACTTACTCTTGTTGCAGTGTATTTACACACAAAGTCCGCTAATTTTGCCTAAATACCGGTGACTCTAGCAAGCACTTCTCAGAAATGCTTTCATCTATTGGTATTATTGAGTGGATTTCGGCACATGGAGATTTAGCAGAAAATCAGTATTTTCAGATTGAATCACCATCACGGTAATGCATTTTCTATCAATCAAACCCTGATTAGTTCGAAAAATCGTTATGTCCATCATGGGAACAGATCATTTGCTTTGTAGCAACTGATATATCGGAGAGCTACTCACCGGATATTTTGAAGAACCGGCATCAGCTGGGTCGAGTCCTTTCTTCAAAGCCTTATTGCGAGCTACTTGTCGTTGCCGTTCATTTAGCTCTTTCAGCTAAAGTACTACCTTCTTACGAATAGAGCACTTTTGACAAGACAAAATGAAGTAACCATAAACTATTATATGTTTCCGATTTTCAGGAAATCAATCTTACGATTGAAACTGATTGGAACAGATTCCGGAGTGATTTCAAGTGGCACATGAATGAGCAGCGAGCGAACACATCTCACTGCTTCAAATTGAGAACTGCTAAACATTGAGACCGTTAGAGCTTCTGAGTAATGACTCACATCGTACTCTTGACGTTCATGACGCTTCTCCATGTCGTATTTATCCGCTTCAAGTTTACAAATCCTTTGATGCAGTTCTTTGATTTTTGCCTTGAGATCATCGGCCGCGACATCAGAGGAGTTCGGGATACCGTTCTCCACAGAGGCGATGAAATTCTAGAATGAACAACCATTTCTTTCTATTCGAGGCAAATTAGTATCCGTAGCTTTTACCCTTCTCGCTTCTTCTTGCTGTTCTTTGGTCATGCCCATTTCCTGTTTCGCTTGTACAATGTTGCCGAACTTATCATCTTTCTGACTCTTTTTCGGGATGGTGAAGTTTCTGTGATAGCTTGCCGTCGAACCCAAATCGTAGTACCACAAAACTGTGAGTGAAAAAGTTTACCTTCCGCCACCAGGAACCATAAACATTTGAGCGGCCATTTGTTGCTTTTTCAGCTTTTCTTCCTCTCTCTTTCGCCTCTCCTCTTCCTGCTTCGCCTTTCTTTCTTCCTAAATTGACTATGAGTTTGCAAAATGATGATAAAGCATCAAAATCCACCACAAATATTCTAACACACCTCCTCCTTAAGACGCTGTTCCTCTTGTTGCTTTCTGCGCTCAGCTTCAGCTTTCTCCTGTTCTTCGCGTTCTTGTTTTCGCTTTTCCTGTTTCTCTTTTAGCTTCCTTAACTCTTCTTCCTCTTTTTCTCTTTCTAGCCGACGATTTTCATCATATTCCTGTAGCAGTTTTTGCTGCTCTTCATCCTGACGTTTCTTCGCAGCCTATAAAAAGGAAAAAGTTCAACACCATTGTTCGTTATGCAGCAACTATGGTTCCCTTTCTTACCAGCATGGCTGCCTCAGCTTCGGTCACCTCTTCGCCATCGGCACCTTTGAATTTTTGTCTGAAATATGAGAGGAGAAATTGACCGCGTATTACTTATTGTGCCTTTCAAGTGTTATGGAAATGTCATGGTTTGCGGAAACATGCAGTTGGTTATATAACACCTGATACACGTAAACATTCGACTATTTTCTGGGTGTTAGAAATTGCATAATATCGTTTCGATCGACTTAACACTGCCACGGGCTATGTAACCAATTTTTATGCATTTTCACGGTCTTCTAGTCTCAGTGGAATGGCATATAAAGTGGAGCACTTCAAAAGGTTATTGGTCAAAAGAAGTAAGGGCGCGAACCGAGAAATCTGTTTTGTTCTTATGTGAAGTTTACTTCCAAAGTGCAGATCCCCAGATTGTTCAGAGGTTCATGGTCAAGTCCCGCAGGATTCCGTTCACAAAATGAAAATCGTGAAAAGAAAACCAGTCATGCTCGAAACCCGATTTTGTCACGCCTGGCAAGATGGAATCGCGTGCTATATGCCCGGCCTAAGTTCGGGACAAGTTCGTCCCGGATTTTGTCCCGTGCTTAGTTCCTTAAGTTCGAGACAAAATCGGAATTCGAGCAAGACTACCTTTTTGCCGCGATTTTCATTTTGTGAGCCGTCTTTTGCGGGACTTAATCACGAATTTCTGAGTGATTTGTCTTTATTGTGTCAAATGAGTGAGGATGAAAGAGAATGCTGCGATTTCAAAAAAAAAAACTTAGAGAAGCATTTGCTGACGCTCAGATATCGTCAGGCATGTTTGAGCTTCACCAAAAACGTTCTTTCTAAATCTACACCTTTTACGATACAAAGCAGGTGACTAGGTGTGCTTTAGATTTCTTTCATTCAGATAGGTTTCTGGTAACAAAAATTTATTGTAAAATATCTTTTCCTAAGTTGTACATAGAGTCGAGTTATTTTATATGGTCATATGTGTCACTACGCAATTGCGCATTTTGCTGCTCTCATCCCAATTTCTAGTCGCAAGAATGCAAGAGACCGATTGTTACAGCTCAAATCACTATGCGAAAAATTCTACTTGAAAGAGAAAACCAAAAAAGCGCCAGAAACGCTCACTTGAAGGGGGTCGGCGTAAGATACACAGAATGAATCGGGTAAGACGGACAGCGTGTGCAGTGACACATATAATCACAAGAAATGGACTAGACCGTACGCATTTACTTGGCTCCACGCTGCACTGCATGATGTGGAGCTTTGAATTTTGCTAATACACATGCAAAAAGGTGGCTGCTACTATAATAGGACCTGCGCAAGCTCACATGCAAACTAGACTTGTAGAAGAAATTCAAATGTTCTTCCAAAGTCATGAAAATATCCATGGCGATGCATCGGAATTTGTTTGCAAGGTAGTTTGAACTGTCTAACAAAATTATTTGCTGCTGGAAGTATCCTTGTAATCAACATACCTTCGTCATCCATAAACTAAAACAGAAGAGTTCAAAAGAAGCGTTTACCCCTTTCCGGCTCCGCTGTCTTCGGCCTCAGCTTCGACCTCCTCTTCCTCACTAAACAAGTAGATAAAGCAACGATTCAACACTTTTAAACATGCTATTTGTAATCTCATGCAGTTTTCCATCGAGCCTCATCCAGCAACTGAATGACTGACTTGTCGCTTTTACGAATTTTTGACTTTGCGCCGAGCGAGACCGAAGTCAAAAAATTGATAAAATAAAGAGTAACCAACAAAAAACACCATCACCCAATTACCGATTGTTCAACAATAATCCATCTTTACTAATTTCCTTATTCTCTTTGGAACCACCAAACAATCTCTCCGATTTCGTGTTTAGCTTTTAGTAAACATGTCTGCTTAGTGCAATTCCTGCAGTCTTCAGTAAAAAAAAGGAAAATCATATTCCTTGACGTCAACTATCTTCTTCAGTGAAACGCACAACTTTTATTGCTGAGAACAAAGTGCTGATTCTGCTGAACAGTTTCATGTCTTTTCTACCCATGCTAAATTATTTTTTCTTCAAATTAAGTCACTAAAAATCTGTGAGCTGGTAAGTTGGTATGTCATATGAGCAGTTGTCTGCTCATACTTACTCGTAATAAGACAATTACGGCTAACAAGCATTCCAATGGTACAGTCTGTACCGTTTTTCTTTCTGAAAAATTTAAAGCAAATTCGTTGAGGTCGAAAAATTACGAATTTCTAAAGAAAAACCGCTTCGAAGAATTGAGGTAAACAGCTATCAGAATGAAGTCTGCTGGTATGCGTTCCTCTACAACAATTTCCTTCCCCTCCCCTCTACATTAAAAAAGTATTTTATTCTCATATTTTCTTTACAAAACCGAATAAAATGGAAATACAGCGCCTTTCACCTTCCGAACTACGGTATATGCAGAGGCACAGTTCTTGTCAAAAATGGTTATCTTACAAAAGCTGGCGCATACTGCAGTTGTCGGCCGGATGTTTCAATGTGTTTCCTTTACCGAATATGATAGATGAAAAATAAATTTACTAATAGAAGAACTTACAGTTCAAATCGAACATGTAATTTTTTTTTCATCCCGCTGACTTTCACAACCGTTAAAAGTGACAAAATGTTCTTACTGGATCTGAGGGGCTTTCCGAGAAAGTTAGTTAGACTACACTTTATATTGACGAATCTGCACGTCACGTATATCCCCTTCGCCCACTGTTGAGGTAGAATGACAAAAACTACATAGTTTTGTGTACATCAGTTTTTGAGAATGTCTGCATTCTCACGCAAGCACGTAAGTGCTTCAGCTCTCGAGCCTTCCACAGTATACAGTGCGAAGAAAATCCCAGGAATTCTCTGCACTTTTGTGCTTGTACCTCTCGGAAGTTTGAGTGACTTTTTGAATAAAAGCAACCGGTCTCTCAAAACGTCTGCGGTTACCAGGAATGAAAAGCAGTAGAATCTCTCACACTTAAATTGAAACAAAATGTGCCGTATAGCTATATACCCGCAATGTACTGAATAATAATCTGGAGTTAAATGTGTAACCTACTATTGTTCCTCTTCAGCCATATTGCAGGGCACAAGCTGAAAATAAAACATCATTTTTAAAAAATTAAATCATAGCACTGCTAAAAACTTCGACTGGAGGACTGTGCTATGGCATCAATGAAAAGGAAAGGGAAAAGTAAGAGCAGCTTCCTGCTAATGCGAGAGTAAGTAGAGGCTCACCAAACCCTACCTACACTCGCTAGGAACTGAAGAGAATGTAGGAGAGAAACGAACATAAAACGAGTCGCAAGCTGCTCAACGACTTTGACTGGAGACTTTGTGCGTTGCCCGGATAGCGGGGATAATATTTACTTTCGGGGAGACTTTTTGCACAAGTCGAAACAGCTCACTCAGATGGTGGAGGCCTAGGCATTGAGTGCTATCCACTTTGTCGGACTAGTCAGGTTACGCTTTGCTTGGGTTAACTGTTTGAACCATTATTTGTAAGAGAAAAACAAGCTTTATAGGAAGAAAAGTCAATTTTTGCGAATATGACTTACTGGTAATTTCAAGTCAAACACGTATTTTTGAACTGCTTTTGACACCAGGAAATGAAGTTGCTTCGTAACATTTCTTGCTAAATTTGCTCACTATCTGCGAAAAATTATAAAATCGGATTCTCGTAAACTTGGTAGCCGAAGCGACGAAAAAGACAATCCATTGGCATTATTACAATCTTCACTGACATGAGTTATAGTAGGTAAAAATTTGTTTAGCGCCACATCAACCCACTTAGCAAAAAATTCTATCATTTTTTTTTCACCTTTCTAGATTTTTGATGGGTTTTGAGAGCATCTGCTAAAATGAAGGCAGTCCAAAAGCCTGAGCTCTTCAGTACAAAAATCGAAAACTTAAAAATCATTTCAAAAAGATTCCAAAGTTCGAATGCCAATGGATAGTAACGTGCCAAAATAATAAGATTCTGAGCTCATAATCTAGCAGTGACGGATAGAAGAGACGTAAGTGATTTTGCTTGAATTGCAACCCTGACAATGAAAGAGCTTGATATAGTATCGCATGCATAATTTTCTACTTATTATCTGTCCTCCCTGTCTTTTTTGACCTATAATAGGATCGTGTTCAAAAAAAGGTTGCAATTTTTCCAAGGTGAGCAGCTCTATTCCAGATGATCTTTTAAGATAGCCTTCGTAAGCGCAATAAGCGTACGTAAAATTGGATTTGATTGGATTCCTGTTTCCATGACAAAGCTGTCGTATCAGAAACTTCTAAAAATAAATTATTTGCGAATGCGTTGGAGGAGGCAAGGGGAACGGCTGTCACAGTTGAGCATATTGTTACGAGAAAGTTTTTTCTATAAACTGCTCATTCAACAAGTAAGAAATGCCGCGGTTACTAATGTTAGGTTTCCTTTCAATCTCTGAGCAATTACATAATTGTCGACAAGTTGCAGAAAAAAAAACGTAGGTAGGTAAGCGAACCGACTATAGGAGGTTTTTTGAACATTAACACTTTTGTTTTAGAAGTCAGATCTAATTATAGTCTGGCCTAATCCTTCGGTTTGAATTATTAGGACGAGCTTGCATCTTGGGTTCCACCACGGAGCCAGTCCATCGTACGTAATCTCTCATGTAGCGAAGTGTAGCGAAATTCACCCTTTTTTGATTCCGACTCGTCATGGGTTCTCTTCTACCGTTCTTACCATATCTTGGCGTAGAGTCGACTTCTTACGCGTATCTTAGACGTTTCACAAGCATGGAACACGACTTGAGGGAGGAAGTTAAAAGGAGAAGAAGAGTGGCCTGAGCTGTCTTCGGGCCTCTGAAAAAAACCAAAGACAGACTGGCTAAGTCGCACTCAACATGACGCAGCAATCGACAACCAAGAAGTCGCGGATGGCTAAAGTGACGGACAGGGATCATTTGAAACTTTTGTGCTGAGCCCCCGCCACGTGAAGACGGGCCATCTAATCTATATAGTCTCACTAAAAGCTTTGTGCAGGAAGCTCGTCGAATTAGGAAGGCAGAATTAGAATCAGCGTTTCAAGCCCTTCAAATGGTTTTACATCCCATTTCAAAAGGTAGTTTGACTATCCATCTTTTCCTCGTGAGTATGTAGATCCTATTACGAACTCCAAAAGCCTTCAAATTTGTCTTCTGCAGCCATTGAGCTCTCTAAAAGATTACGCATAACCAGATATATATTTAAACATACAATGTATACAAAAGTATGTACAAATTGTGTGATGTGCAACATACTTTTTGTACTACTGGCTTGCGGCTACAAAAGAAGCTACTTATCATCTATACTAACAAATCTGACGGGAGTATGGTTTATGATATGATTAAAAGTATGATTTATTTGAGCAGCAACGACAGTGTCTCACCAAAATTTGGTTTTTATTAATTGTGCGAAAATGCTGAGCTTTTTGACAGTTTTTTGACGTGCTATAGCCCATCGGAGGTGGCAAACCATTCGAAATACAGTGCACATTCACTTCCGCTCATATCACAGACGAGCAGAAAAATATAGATTGATAAAAAAAGAATTTTTTTCTTCTGAATCCTCGTTTTTGACAAATCAAAAATAAATAAATGATAAATAATAAATAATAAATAATCATAAATAAATCATACTTTCAATCATATCACAAACCATAATCCCGTCAGATTTGTTAGTATAATTGATATGCAGCCTATCTTTTAGCCGCAAGTCAGCAGTATAAGTAATGATGGAAAGGACCTGCACAAAGAATGCGAAAGAAAAATCAATACATAAAATCTCAGCTTTTTCAACATTCTTTCCTGGCCTCAAAGTCACAAATTATGGACTTTTTTGATTTCTACATACTGAACAGCCAAACGATTTTGCAAAAACTTTCAACGAAGGCCTACATTACGCTTACAGAAAGGAGCAAAGCTTTGGGGATTGCTTTTTTCAAAAAAATGTATGGGCCACAGAATGTCTAACAATAAGACTACCAACCATATTGACGCCGATATCTCAATTTAGATGATTGCTCAAAAATTAGCGTAGTGTGCATAATGCAGACAACTAAGGTACACATAGTAGCTGAGTTCTTACAGAATGCCATCAGTCGCGCTTGAATTCTGGCTAAAAAAGTAAATGCAATGCAATTCTGGTTTTGGTGAGCTTGTTTGAAGCTCTGTAAATCTTCGACACATGAAGCTACGAGCCCGTTTCAAACCGATTATATAGAGCATAAAAAGAGCTTCTTAGCTGTAAGCCACGTCTTTTCCACAAACGAAAATTTGATGGAAAAAAGTTGTCCTGAAACAAGGCCTAAAAACGCTTTTTTTGGACCAACCTAATAATTTGGTTTTGATTTTGATACTGACTTTAATCCTCTGCAACCTAGACGTGCTCGATCCTCATAAAGACCACAAAATCTTTTCGTTCGAGGCCCATCGAAGCAAAGAGGATCTGTTCTATCCTAGGATCCGCCGCAAGGTCGGGTGCACCAAGAATGAAGGCGTCGCCTAAAAAAAAGTCTGCTGGTTTTTATGGCAAACTAGCTTTTTATTGCAAACTGCAAAATTCATTCGGTTGTCACAATCTGACGCTCTTCTTTGATAGTCGTCTTAGCCCACACATTTGGCGAGCGAATTCGAAGTGGAGCAAGCCGATCCCATCGAGGTGCGGGATGGCAAGCCACACTTCAAGTTTGCACATATTTCTTTCCCGTTTTTCCACCATTGCTTACTAATCTTATATAATACTAGCTGGCTTACCCGACTCCGCCCGGCCTTGTCAAAAACGATAAAGGTCCCTTTCCTACCCCTGTACAACCTTTCCCTATGCACACTTCTACATGCAATTCCCTATTCCCGCTGTGTTAGTAATCAGTATGCTCACCTACCTTCCTCACCAATCCCCCCAGCCCCGTAGCTCAAACTTTGCAAAAAATTGATAAAATCGATAAAAGTAAGGGTAATTCTAAAAACTGATGGCGCTATTTGGCTATCCGGGCCCCAGAATTTTTTTGTGACGGATCTTGCTCAAACTCGAGATTATTGATATGGGGTTCACTATGGGGGTTATTGAGCCGCTGATGACAAATATCGTAGTCACTTCGCGCGATAGCGCCTTTTTCTGGATTTACGGTGGGTACACTAAGAAGTAAGTCATGGAGTCGCTGAAACTTGCTTAGGGGGCTAATTGACACGCTGATTACGAATATCATACTCCTTCCGCATTGGGCGTTTTCACTGAGTTACGGTAGGCATACCGTAGAGCGGCAAAATCTCAGTCTTGGCTGAAACTCGGTCTCTAGAGAGATTCGATCTTTTGACCACGTTTAAAACACTCTCGTTGCGTTCTAGGATCTTTTCGCAGAGTTACGATGGCGCATGGCAGCGGGTAGAAATCATGAGCCTGCCCGAAACCTTGGCAGGGAATTACCTAAAGTGCCGTTTCAAAAACATCGTGCTTAATCCTCACGACAAAGGCAAATCGTGTGGTATGAAAGTTTCCCACGACCGTAATGCTTTCCTTATGTGACCACTGCCGCGCGCGATACACCCTTCGACGGCTTTTGCCTAAGCAAAAACAGGGGGAGGGAGATTTGCCGCGTGCGTTACGCGTTGGGATAGGTTATCAGGATGGCTGGGGACCGCTATGCAAAACGACCGTTTTCCCATCTCTTGAATATCTGGGATCTAAATTGGCCCAAAATCGAAAAATGTCCATTCAAATCCTGCGACTCACCATAACTTCACTAATGCTTTATGACGGCGAGCAAGCATCATATGCATAAGCGTATACCTGTGAACCGTTACATCTAAGGTTTTGAGCAAGTCTGGAACTTCGACCATCTACACCCACCGTAACCCAAGAAAATGCACTATCTTGCGAATTCAGCATGACGTTCATGTTCAACGCGCTAAATGACCACCCTAGACGAAGTTTGAAGCAAATCTATGTTTTCGACCCCACACTAACCACCATAACTCTATGAAAAGGTCCCAGGTGATATGCAGAGAGAGTATGAAATTCGTAGTCAGCATGTCGAATAAGTTCTCTGGACCAAACTCCAGCCAAATTCATGATTTTGACTTCCTACCGTACGCCCACCGTAGCCATACGAGGAGACTTTCTGCGGAAAAAGTGTGATATCTGTTTTCAGGACATAAGAAAACCTTTATACTTAGAAGTTTGAGTAAGCTCTACGAAAAGAAAATTTGGGTCCCGGACAGCCGAATAGCGCCAAACAAATATTGTGTTCCTAATCAGCATGCATTACCTCCCTGTGCCAACTCCCAGCCCCGTACGTCAAACTTTGCAAAAAATCGATAAAATCGATAAAAGTAATCGATAATCCTGAAAACCAGTATTGTATTCGGAATCCCCATGCTCGGTTACCCCCTGTAGAACTCCCAGCCCCGTAGCTCAAACTTTGCAAAAAAATCGATAAAATCGGTAAAAGTAATCGGTAATCCTGAAAACCAATATTGCATTCGGAATCCCCATGCTTGATTACCCCCCTGTGCCAACTCCCAGAACCGTAGGTGAACTCAGCAAAAAACCGATACAAATCGATAAAATCGATATTGATCGATGTTTGTAATTCTACAAAATATTGGCTTTAGCTGTAACTGTTCTTAAGCTTTATCAACAATTCACCTTAGCCTATGAATCAGCTGTACATCCCGCAATCTTGCTAATAGCTTTGCCTGGTGTTTCGTTAATGCTCTGCCATGCTGTCACTTATTAACATTCAAACATTAACCAATTCTCAATGTTTTTACAAGTAGCTAACAGTAGCATCAAGTCTACCAAGCTCTTAATTGTAGCATGAAGAATTGTAATGAGCACTCCTGGCTTCTCATGACACTCTTCTCTTGGCACGCATATAAAAGAAGCTGCCGTTTTCTCACTAGGTTTGGTATCTATCGAATAAACACTTCTCACAACTCCTCGTCGCACAACCAAACGGTCAATCCCAAACAGATGACGAAAAGTAGCCTATGACACCCGCCGGGGCCCGAAGTGTATGTGTGCCAAGTTTGGACCGGATCGGTTCAGAAATGGATTTTCTATTCGGAACATACTTACATACAGACAGACATACATACAAACAGACATTCAGCTTTATATATAAGATAATCTCCTAACGCCGATGCCTTTAGGTCTTTCGCGAGCTTGCGGTATTATTTTGTGAAGCTAGTTTTAATCTACACCCACACTTTGGAAAGAATCATTGATGGCTCCCGTTATGGAGTATGTATTTCCAGCAGCATAGAACGTCACAACGACAAAAAAAAAATACAAAAAACCTAAGGACCTGAATAACTCTAAAAAATGTTGTGTAAAATGAGATTTTAGTAAAGTAGCCAGATTTTTGAGAATATCGAGAATATACTGACCTACGGTATACCTGGAATAACTCTCATGAGACATCATGGTAGGTAAAAAACTGAATCGGATTCAGCGACTTTCATTAGCTTCGTACCCGAGTTCGACTGTTTCAATCACTTGTACCATGGTCGAAAACGCAAATCCCTTTTCAATTGCCAACATAATGGTAACGAAAAGATATACTAGGTTAAAAGTGAGGCACACGCGTCCTTTGAAAACTCATCTGCAATGCCCCTTTACATCTGACTAAACCTTCTTCATCTCCTCCCCCCCCCCCCTTCAAAGCCATTAGCGATTGCGCATGAGTATACAGTGCCACAAAATTCCTTTATGCATTAGATGGTTTCATAAGTTCGTAGTGTTTCTATAAATGAGCGAGCTGACAAAATGTTAGCGAAATCCAGTCAACTATGCATGTTCCGTTGTTGCGCACAAGCTTCTGCCACCATTCCATCTGATTTTCATTTCCTTTTTTTGAACACCCCGCGGCTCTGGTGCTTGTTTTTGATGATTCATTTTGCCTTTTGAAAAATCCTTCTTTGGAAGCTGAGGAATCAAAGCAGATCAGCTTTCCATTGAAAATAACCAGTTCAATTTAGCATGTCAGCTTTTCTCAATGATATACGCATCTTGCCGCAAATCAACCGCTTCTCGGAAAAATGAGAACGAGAATAAAACTCTACGAACTTATGAACGACCTAATACTTCAAATTTGGTACAATGCCTTCTGAGGACCACAATCATCCCAAGGGTGAAAGGATCGGACAGTTTTATCTACTAAAGATAGCTAAAACAGGTTTCAAACCTACTTGTGTCAAAATGGAGTGGATTACGGACTCCGAAAGCAAGTTGACTGGGTCAGGGCACAACGCAAAGGCTTAGGCATTGACACCATTAACTCCATTAAGAATGAGCTTTTCAGACAAGTTTTATGTCACTAGTTAACACAAAATTACTACAGTAGAACAAACTTGTAAGCCACTGCGCCTGGTTCTAGCCTTTTTTTAATGGAAGGGGTAAAATAGAGAAAGTGATAGCCGAGATTTTGACAGCTTCTAACAAAAAAGTTCGTTGTTTTCTTCTATAAGCATCACAGCATCTCAGTATCGAATGAGCGGCCACAAATATCAGCCGAGCAATTTCAACTTTTTCGGCTCGTTCGGTCGCGTGCTCACTTACCGACTTATGCCAACTTCCAACTCCTTCTCAAACCTTGCAAAAATTCGCCCGCCTGAATTGTGGGAAGTTGGTCCTTAGTTCAGAAATAGTTGCTATCATACGTACAGACACACATACAGGCATACAGACATTCAACTTCATATATAAAACGATGTTACAACAGCGTGTTGAACTTTCAAAACATGGTTCACTGGCCTAGCACTTCTTTTCCCCTTATTTGATCGATACTTTCGTCCTTTTTGAAGTATACTGTTCTCACAATTTTCCACTCCATTTCCATCTCCTAAGACGGCTTTCCAAGGAGAGCGCAGGTGCTCTTAGGGCGTCTTCAAACCGCGCCCGTAACAGCCGCCAGCAGCCCTTTTGTTATCATAGAAACACAAAATCATTCGCTTCCTACTACGCTGCTGCATCCGCCTTTTTCACCTTCCACGCTTTTTCCTGCCTCTTGCCGCCAGTATGCGGTTTGGTCTCATGTATCATACTTGTATCTATTGTTGTCATTAGCTAGTTGCCGTATATGCAATAACGATGCCTCATTTGACTTTTGCAAAATGTCCTGTCTAAAACGATTGTGAGCGATTGAACTATCCTCTGAATTGAGTGAGCTTGAATTTTTCCCTGCGTGCTTTGCTTGCTTCACCTTTGACATAAGTTTTTGCTGCATGTTTTTTATGTGATACTAGCTGGTATACCGCGGCTCCGCCCGGCCATGTCAATACACTATGACTATAGGGCGTCCGCGCAGGGCGCGGAGAGTGCGCAAGGTGTGTATCGCGCGTCACTCCTCTTTCCTCGTGCACTCTCGCCGCCTGTTTTTCTCTGCGCTTCTTCCGGTCGTGAACTGCCTTCAATGACGGCCTATACATTTCGGATTTTTTGCACATTTCTCTGCCCCTGCTCCTACTGTTCATTATGTTTTTGTAATCAACATGCCTTTTTACAACTTACCATCTCCCAGCCTCGTAGCTGAAACTTTGCAAAAAATTGATAAAATCGATAAAGGTGGCCGATAATTCAAAAACTTAATGTCGTATTCGTATACAACATGCTTGCTTACCCCTCCCCCTGTACCAACTCCCATTGATGGGAATGTGCCGCGAATCTGGTCTACGAATGTCACAGTTCCTATACCATAGCGACGGCGTCAGCGATTGTTGAACATATCGACCAATATCGATGACTCGCTCGAGAAACCTAATTGTGCTGTGCATGATGAGGATTACTATAGGTCACTAAAGGTGACCTGTAGTTAGCATAACGTTGTAAAAAGATTACGCTTTGTGAAGGCTGTTTTCTTAAGAAATAATTTCAGGCTGAGGAAAAAATGGGATAGCTCAATTTGTATCACATTTTGCGCTCTTTTATTGCGGTTAACGACGAGCAGACTGAAACTCAAACATCACTTCCATAAGCGACCTTCGCCTATCATTCTGGTACCGCGGTACGCTCCTCTCACAAAACTTTTGACGTGGCACCTCGAAGAGCCCGCACAGGGTATTTTGAGCATCTCTCAGTCTTGCCCTGCTACACCGTAAATATGATGCAAGTACATACCATCATATCGAGCATTTGATGGTTTTCTCTGTTTCTATGTAAAGGCAAGAAAACTTTAAAATGTGCGATTTTTGACGCAATAAAAGACAGAAAAAATATTTTTCATCCTATATTTTCCGAGGATGAGTGGAAGTTGTAGTGAACGGCATATGGTTGTTTAGAGCTAAAGAGCTTTATTAGGGGTTAGCCAGAAAATAGGCGTTTACTCGCAAAGAGATAAAGAACAACTATGGGTTTTGAAACGGATAATTACCAATCCTCCTGACTTCAAGCTCTGTACCACCGAGTCGTAGGGTGAGTCCCTCACCCATCGCAGTAGTGACACTTTGGCTGAACTCATGTTCACTGAGCATATACTGCTCAAAGTTCATAAACTGTGGATGCGATCAATTTCGCATTACAGAAAGCATAAAAATTACTAAACATGTAAATGACCTTATATAAATTTTAGCTGAACGAGAATAATATGTTCCATTTTTCTTTTCAAATTTAGAGAATCTCATTGATTCTCTTTCGTGGGAAATCTGCAGTTATTCTCCAAGTACCCTAATTTCACAAGTACAAGACGCACTTTTGTTAAATTTTTGTGCGAGGCCCTCTGCCGTTTGTGCTTCGGAAAATGAAACTTATGCCGCACGACACTCTCAGGCATTACGAAGCAATGCATAGGGTTTTTGGTCGTGAAATGTTTTAGTGTTTTTAGGCTGGTCGAATTAGAAGAAAACAGGTGCTTCCTGTACTGGTGAAATTTGGGAATCTCGTTGATTTCCGTTATCTTTATCTTTATCTCATAAACGGAAACGTGTGCCAAAGCTGTGTGAGTAAAGAAAACTTGCTAGAGATAGACCAGCGGTCACCTTCAGCAGGAACAAACAGCAAATAAGGGCTTCAGATTTTGAAAAAGAAAAATCTCTATATGGTCAAGGGAGGTCAGGTGATTGGCATTGGGAAATGCCACTGCCGCTTTTCCGGACTGTCCAAGATGTTTGCGCTTGGTTCCTGCCAGGTACCTACCAACCTGAAACCACCGACGCTTAAATCACCTGCCTTATTCTTGGGAAAGCCATGCATGAAACGCAGCTGTCTACGGTTCCATGGAGTAAGCGGCTGTCGTAAAAGCGAAGTGGGGAAATCAAAGTTGGAAACACATAAGTTGACCAGCGGGAGTCAGCAAGAAATAGAGCAGAAGCAAGTAGATCTGTAATGAAAACAGACCAGAAACAAGAACTGCGACGATTAAATCGCGTTAACTCTATCTAGGCTTTAGAGATGAAACAAAGATTCGATGCCTTTTATCAAGTGTTCGTTCATGCAAGTGCGGCCGTTTTTCCTTCGTAAAAAATTTCTAAAACGTGATATTCATTATTCATAGACAGTATACTTCACCGCGACAGTTTGAAGTACTCGACTCTTATGTTTTCACCTTTCGATGAAAAGTAAAACGCACCCATTTATGATTTCTGCACGACTTTCTTTGCCGAGTCAAATTGTCAAAGAGACTAAATATTATTTGATTGTATAAAACGTGCTTTCTTTTTTTGAACATCTACCAAGTGATTATGGAATTGCATGGCTTGACAAGGTACATAGAGGTCATTTGGTCACCATTACGCTCAACCCACACGTACAGCTAGCATGGGCTAGTCATGTTTAGAGGGGAGTGGAGGTCGTTGCAAATCCGTGCACCACCCCTTCGGCTTAATATCCTAATGTCCTCTCCAACAAACTTCGAATTTATGAACTTGGAGACAATTTTCGACAAGATTTGATCTTTCTTTTACTAAAACCAACAAAATCTTCGCGTGTAGGGTCATGTGACACTTATTGCTTGTGCGCGGCAGTGGTCAAGCCTCAAAAAATATGAAAGAACCGTTTTGTAGTTTCAGCTCACTTAAAGTGCTACTCAAAAAATATGAAAGAACCGTTTTGTAGTTTCAGCTCACTTAAAGTGCTAAGAATCATTGTTTTCACCGACTTCACAGTTTCCTTGTCCATGTTGATAATTTCTCGAAATGTTGAGTTCTCTAGTATGACCAGAGAGCAATATGGATGTAATCCCATGATGACTGGGTTTGAAGATAATTAGATTTTAATGCCTTCGGTAGCAGATAAAGCTCTTTAACATGCTGTATGTATAGAGTTTCAGTGAACCAATTTTTTTGTTCAAACTGATATTTTCAAATGAGACCACATCATTTATAAGCATGAAGTTATGTTAGTATCGTACTAGCTATGATTAAATCGTTTAAATTAGTTCATGTACTAGTTTTTGTATTGCGTAGTAGACTTATAAGAAAAAGTGTTTTGAGTAGCTTTTCCAGGTCATTCTCTTACCAGCAAAGCACATGCGGACGAAGATGCTCTCAGACATGCCATCGCGCAACTACAAAGCCATAGTGTCAAATGAGAAACGAAGAACACTTTTTATTGTTGAAAAGTTCGCCCCGATGGGAAGTAGGACCTGCTTGCGCTTTCCTCCTTGACGGCTGAGTTCACATGTAAGTCAAGGGTCAGAGTCCTATACAGCAACTCTGCGTCTTAGTTTGATGGGAACTTTTCCTCTGAATTTGAATTTTGTTTGAATTCTGAATTTTGTGGTAGAAGAGCTTTGGAAAGCCTGCTCGCTGTTTTCAGTCCAGTCATGTGACAGATTTAGGTAACGAGTAAGCCCGATAAGCGAAGAGTTTCTTTTCTGATAAACTTGTATTTGGTATGAGTTCTGAAGGGACTATAGCATTTGGTTTTCTCAAATCCTGCACTGATTTTTTGCTCCAAAGAAATTATGCGTAAGGCATAGCAGCTACCAAAGTCCATAACTTTGACAATGGTAGTGTCCTTTCAGTGACAACACATGCGCTTGCTGATTGCAGTAGAGAGCAAAATTTTCACTATGCGGTTCGTAGCCATTCAGACGGCTCCACAAATATCAGCCGCCAAATCTACTAGACTATAGAAATAAAACCGCTACCGAATAACCAGTTCTAATTATACCTCTTTCAAAACGCAGAGCATCATTCATTTCGAAGAATGCGTAGATGGTGATTGGTCTCTTATATTGTATGATAGTATTACTCACCTTGATGATGGTATGTGTCCGAAGCAGGAAACCGCTTTCCGTAAGCAATCGTGAAGAAGATCCTTTTGATAAGAATTACATAAACTACAACTTTGGTCTTTAGGAATCAAGAATGCCAATAAGCATCAACATGGACGATGAAAGTTCTTTACAAAGGTAGGGTTTGGTGGAATCGAACTATATGATGACTTTAAAGGCCTTGCGCGAAGCCTATATTGCGCATCTATTATACATACTGGCTGGCTTACATACTGGCTGGCTTTCCCAGTCCAGGTCGGGCGATTAATCGATACGACACTCTTAGCAACTGACGTCCAAACAAAAACTTCGCTTTCTTCTCTTTCAATTCGCTGCACTCCTTCTTCTCCAGCACAATCAATGCTGTGCATTTTCCCTTGCGCACAACACTGTATAGCAAGCACCACCCCTCTTCTTGATTATATAGGTTCATCTCATAACAGTTTTTTGATACCCGCATTCTCCTAACTCTGTAATTGAATTGAGCTTTACCATTTTCGTTTAGGAATTTGCTCGATTATAACCGATAAGCTTTCTTTTTACTAGATTTGACTGTAAGTGAACAAAACAATAGGTCGATCGTAGAGATCATCGAATCATCAAAAATTATAGCCTCAAGCAATCGCCAGGAACATTAAAGGCATACTTATGCAAAGCTCCAGCTCTATCGTTACACGTACAGTGAGATCTACAAACTAAATACATAACACACACTTGAAAAATCTCTGCTATATACATTCAGTGCGTCCTCCAGCTTCAGAGGCTCGCACTGGTTCTCAAATGCAAATGCCTTCCGTGCTTGCCCAATGGGAAATTCTGCTCTGAAATTCACCAACAACAACATTCACAGTCACGAAAATAAAGAGCTAACTATTACGAAATCATCGTCGCCACGCGGAATTGATAACACCGTGGATCGGCAAAATCCAATAACTCGGGATTAACGCGGTAGGTTCCTTATCGTCCAACTATGAAAACAGTGCAATCCCGGTTGCACAGCATGCTTTTCCTGCCGAGAAAATCGCTCTCGAACTTACACGCGCAGGCCAATCTTACACGCATCTGGACGAGTTGACAATTTTCTTCTCACCATTGGAGGCTGCCCGCCGCAATGCTATAACCATTGGGTCATGCCACGATTTAGCGTCATTGGCCTTGCTGCACTCGTCCAATATCAAAGGGAAGGGCATTAAAAAACGCTCATTTTCGCCGTTTTCAAGCTTTCAAAAGTGGATTTTCGGGATCAGCGTATTGAAAAACCCCAGGTAAGCGCAAATTTGACTAAGTTAAGATTTGTCGAGCCACTGCCTTTAACGGCAGGGAAGCAAAAGCTTGGCATTCTGCTTTTATATCAAAAAATACCTGCATATGACCCCTTAAACAAATTCTCCTTTCTCTTTGGTATCATGTCAAAAGAATAAGCAGCCTATGGCTTATGCAGCTACCTGATTTTGCACATTTTTTGCGAAAGAGTGACATTTAGTCAAATACTTCTTGTTCATCTGTAAACCCTCGCACTTGCGTATGGTGCATGATTGTGTGCTGCGGTCGCTTTCGCTGTGTTAACCAGATGAAAGAGAGTTAAAGCAATAGCAGGGAAGCAAAAGCTTGGCATTCTGCTTTCATATCAAAAATAATACCTGCATATGCATACGTTAGGGATCGGTCATACAGGGCTTATCAAACGCAGTGTCGCTTGCATCAGCATCTCCACTCCCGCGCTAGACTCTGCGTCTCTTCCGCGAACATGCTCTCTAATCAATTCCAATCGACTGAGGCTCCGCCTTTCCCATAATCGCGTGGGAAAGTGATCAGATAGGATGTTCGCTGAAGAGATGCGGGTGGAGGAACGGACACCTCAATTAGGCACTGCCTCCGCATGCTACTGGTCCCAACACGATGCGCAACAGTAGGACGAAAGGACCAGCAGCCCGCGGAGGCGATGCCTAATTGAGGTGTTGTTCCTCTACCCAAGAGATGCAGAGTCTAACGCGGGAGTGGAGATGCTGATGCAAGCGACACTGCGTTTGATAAGCCCTGTATCTCGTCGCCGCGCGATTTCTAATTGCTTCGATTGTTCATAATCTTTCGTAGGCGCATACATTGTAAGCGAGATTTGGCATGTACGCATGAGATTACAAAAGCTATGCGCCTGCGCACTTGAATTCTACACGCGGTAGGTTTGCGGAGATTGGCAAATGGCCAGATCGCGTATCGCCGCGCTTAGAGAAATCGGGCGAGGTATATTCGAGACTTTTCACGCCCAAACCGTAAGCCCGTGTGGAAGCCAGCTGAACAGAAGTTCCTACCAAAGAAAAGCGCATTTACATGAAAAAAAAAGGCCAACGTAGGTGACCATAGTTGCAGTTTCCTTCTGATAGTGGACGCCCCCCTCGCGGCAAAAGCTTTACACATCTTCCCTTCTTTCGCATTCTCAGCGTGTTGGGCTTGAGCCAACCTCACGCGATTCAGCCGCCACGCGATCTGGCAGTTTGCTAGATGCCATCAAATACCACTGGCAGAAAATGCATATTTTGCACAACTACCTTGGTAGATTGATAAACACTGTCTTTTCCACATTTAGAACTAGCTGGCATATCCGGCTCCGCCCGCCCCTGTCAAAACACTATGATAAAGCTCCCATCCCTATCCCTGTACAACCGTCTGTCCACTTATACATACCAACTCCAACTCTTCATTCCCGCTGTGTTAGTTATCAGCACGCTCGCTTATCCCTATGTGAATTCCCAGCCCCATGGCTGTCAAACTTTGCAAAAAATCGATAAAATCGATAAAAGTAATGATAACTTCAAAAACTAATATTGTATTCGTAATCAGTATGCTCGATCCCCCCACCGTGCCAACTTCCATCCCCGTAGCTCATACTTTGCAAAAAATCGATAAAATCGAATCGATTGAGGACAAAAAGTAGTCTATGACACCCGCCCGCGCCGAAGTATATGTGTGCCAAGTTTGGTCCGGATCGGTTCAGAAATGGGATTTTCTATTCGGAACATACGTACAGACAGACGTACAGACAGACAGACAGACATACAAACAGACATTTAGCTTTATATATAAAATGACCGCACGATGGGTTATGGAAACTTGGACTAAACCAGCTATGACTTGCAGAGTGATGCCGAGCATCATGAATAAAATGTTAGAAATTATTAGGTTGGAAAGAAAAGAATGTCGTATCTTATGTTACTGAGAGATATTGGAGCAGAGTGAACACCAAAAAAGCGCATCGGGCAAAAATCAAAAGAGCCAGGCAAACTCTACAAGACGGGTATTTTGTCGAACAACCATATTCAGTTCGATTTGCGTATAACTTAAAGCAAGATCTAAAGGGTTCCAAACTCTCAAATCGAAGAAAAATCGTAATATCTCTCGAAAAATTCTACGCACACCCAACTTGCCCAAGGATTTTCTGTACATCAAACCATTCACATGCAGAGTTGCTGTGATTGTCCTTATGAAAAAATGAAGATTTATAGTTTTTTTTCTCGAAGCAATGCTGGACCTTTCTCATATAAGCAATTATTCTCTACTACTAGCTTCAACAAGTATACCAATCTTTTGGTGCAGAGATATTTCTCGTAAGCTGACTCTTGTACCTCATAGACGCAACTTGACCGCTGCACTGTGGCTGCAAAAGCGGCATCCGGCGCGAAAGCAGTACCAGCTGCATAACAATTGACGCAGTCTGGAAGTTTCTTAACACGTTGATGACAGCGCCGCACAATGGTGCGCGGCAGGCAGTCTGTCCCTGCGGACGGCGCCGCGCGGTTCCCCAAATTCCAATTCAAGCTATCCAGTCTTTCTAATTTGTGTATATAATCACTCAAGGCTAAGGGGAATTCATGTTGGCTCCGCCCCTGTTTTGGCGGGCTCCGCCCACTCCACTGTCTTTTACAAGATTCTTTTTCGTCCTCAAAGCTCATAGAAGACGTTATGAATGACCGCGGAACCTCAGGCGACTTCAATCTTGGCCCCGCCCCTCGGTGGCAATCTCCGCCCATCTTTCAATGCCCGAATTCCCACGATTTCTTGAAATTCAAGCAAAATACAGCATTTTTTTTTCGAGTAGGCGGAACTTGCCAAAAGCGGGTGGAGCCTTCCCCGCCCACTTGTGATTTTGTTCTGCACGCATAGGTGCATGCGTACATACATGCAGCCAGGCGTAAGAATGCTGGGAAATGGCTAATTCATAGGGACAAGACACCAAAAAAATGGCTCGTCGTCAACACGTTAAGATGCGGGTACAATCACCTTCCTTCACGGAAAGCTTAAGCATTTCTTGTAAGAGCCTCCTTTCTTGTAAGTGTCTATTTGTCTAAAAAGTTTTTTTTTGGAAAGAAAACTTATAAAACGTTGTTGTTCTTATTTTTTTGAATGTATGTATAACCAGCATGAATGATGTAAACCTTTTATTGATTTGCAAAGCGAAATCTCTCTCGTGATCGTAGAGAGAAATTGCCAACGTGAACTTCAGCCTTCAACCTTCCGAAGGAAAGGAGCCGTAATCGGCGGTGAGCAAGTATCTCACCTGTAATACTTTCTCAATATTAATGTTAAACATGTACTCACGTTCCTTTTCAACCACTGATAATTTCAAGATGACAGGGGATTTTGATGAATCGAAAATTATTATTCATGCAGGGTAGCAGACGAATTTTCCGTTGAACGATAGGATGCAATTGCCTTCTAAACCTACAGTATGTAGCATGCTTAGCTGGCAGCAACACATGCCAAACTTGACGCATTTCGTTAGATACTTCTTCGTCTCCGAATAGAACCAATGCGTATCTGCTTGGTGTAAGCCTCTCAATTGGCCATCACCAAACGTTCTTCGTTCTCGTTGGCCTCTTCTTATCATGTCTTCATCACGTCGTCTTCGTTCGACTCGGTATCAAGAACACCACTAGCTTCTTGCGCAAGCTTTTTTATCCTAGCCAGGTTCACGCGTAATATCGTGGGAGCCAAACTCCTTTGCCAGATATGCTAAAACGAATGTTAGCAGAACATAGCAACGACTTTTAAGCTACAGCTTGCTAAATGATTTTGATGAATGGCCAAATTCTCACTTCCACATATTATTCTCGGTTGCACGTAACATGTATTACGAGACAATCTTCAAGCTCCAATACGACATACCATTGATTACTCTTGGGTCTTTGCGAGAATTACGGCAGGTTTTATAATTACAGGGTGCGGCAAAAGTCTGGGAGCCTAATTTTTGCATTACTGCAATTACAAAGATACTGATGGTTTTGATTTCAATTTTATACCACATGATGCTGCGGTCATCCTCTACAGAATACACTTTATTTGGCTGGAAATGACTGCCATATGTTATTGTAAGAATGGAAATTACCAAACTAGTACTTTTGCAAAGCGAAAAAACCAGAATTTTTGGTATTTACAATTTTTGCTGTAACTAGAGATGGTGTTAATATTTTACAAAACTTCGATGCACACAACATAGAAGAGGCTTTGCGCTATTGTATCCTAGTTTTGCTTTTGCCAGGAGCTATTCTTGCATGAACGGAAAATAAAAGTTCGCGAATGTTACCTAAGTGCCAGTGGAAATCCGTCTTCAGAACAAATTCAAAAGCTATAGAATGCTCAACAGGCACTAGAATCAAGGCTGTATTTTTTGCCTACGTCTTCTAAATTAAAATCTATTGAAATTCGGCCATGGGAACACTTTTTATACTTTTTTAACGATATTTTTGATTTATTCGCGCGATTGCAGCCAAAATTCCGGTATGCGACGTGCATATGCTTCTAATTGAAAATCCAATATTTTTATTTCTAAGCAATGCAAAAAATTCTCCTGAAAGTATGTTGTAGACAAAAGTCTGCTCTATTATGCTGCGCATTTGCCAAGGTAAAAGAAGCAGTTACTGTGAAGGCGTGGGGCGAATTCCATTACGACTACCTGCGTGCCATGACAAGTGGACTTGCTAAGATTTTGTAGGGCTGCGTGGAAGCCAAAAGAAGCAGTTTTGCGATCCAAGAACTGGGCTGTATCTGCAATGGTTCGAATTATGTGTGCGCCAAATTTTTCGTTTCTAGGTACTTTTCTCGTTTTGTACGAAAAAGTACTAGGCTCCCAGACTTTTGCCGCACCCTATAGTGGAGCTTGGAGCAGTGTGTCATTTTTGCCCAGAAAATACATGGAACAGATAAAAAACAGGGTTTGAGAAGAACGCAATGATGTGACACCAATAGGACTCGCCTCATCGATCTCCCGTGAGTTTAACACATTAACCGCTACACCACAAAGCCACGTCATAGTAAGCATGCGTTCGCTAGACAGCATGCGCCATAAGCTTAGAATGTCTATAACTTACTCCAGATTAAAGCATCGCAGCTGACAGTTGCACATTTGACATAGCCTAAACCCTAAGAAGTATATCCACATCTCAATCGGCCATTTCGATTCTGTTGAAATGACCTTGATATTCACAGGATGATGTCTCTCTGTTTATACAGTATTAGTTGAACGGACGCGAACGCTGCGCGCATATCTTCATCGTTGTAAATCCTGCGCCTCATGCGCTCTCGGCTAATGAAATCGCGTTCGCTCCCAAATATTGCACCTTCGTCATGCAACAGTCTATATGAGCTATGTATGCTTTTTTAGACTTTACAAGAAAAGGAAGGTTGCTCGAAATTCGAAATGACATTTTAAGATAAGATGTACAATGTCTTATAGAGCTTGGAACCCTGATTCCAAATTTACCTTATCTGCTGCGAGCTTCTGGGCGAAGAGTTATGATGGTTTTTGTGAGTAAAAATTTGAAGGCAAGATTAGTATAAAATCAGTCGTAACCTTTTTCCTAACGTTCAAATGAGGTGGTATATTTGAATTAAGAATACTTATTGCACCGAGTGAGCCAAATATCAGTTAACACCTGGAAAACATGTTCGACTGACTTTGCACTAATCTTGCATTAAATTTTTTTTACTCACAAGACCTTCCTAACTCCTCACTTAAAAGTCCGCAGCAGATAGCAAAGGCAGATTTGGAATCAGGGTTCCAAGCTCTACAATACGGTATACATCTCATCTCAAAAGGCCACTTCGACCAACCTTCCTTCCCTTGTTAGTATGTGGAACGATAGGACCGTAACTGTGCACCCACAAAAAGACTCGAAAGACTTGAAACAGCTTTGCACGCGATCTAAACAAGCTTTACATTGTTCTTTCCAGTTCCCAAGAGCAACAATCCGAATTAGATAGGTTACAAGAAATGTTCTTTCCAGTTTCCTAGAGCGAACAATCCGAATTAGATAGGTTACAAGAAACTTAGTGAGCACACCATCATCGTTTTGGCAATGTGTGCAAAGCATTCCCTTAGCACAAAATATACACATCCTCGAGTCATTGGTAACTCGATATATGAGCCCGCACATTATGCGTGGCAGCCGGCGACCGCCTACCAGCCTCAGTAAAACCTCTTCAAGCGCAATAAACGTACAAAATATGTACAACTAACATACATGTCTTCGAATAAAAAGACAAGGAAACAAGGGGGAAACACTGGAAGTGAGCAGGTTCTAATCTTGCATATTGTCAAGGAGAGCGCATGGTGTGGGGTATATATTGAGTTACAAATGACTCGAGAGTATACAAAATTTCAAAGCAATGTCTGGTTTTATTTAGGTTGCAATCCCGAATCAGAAGTGGTTCTTTTGACGGAGCAAGACGGACTCATTTTAGTACAGTATCATTCGAGGAAGCACCGCAAAAAGACGAATGTAGTGGTAAAGTGAGTGATATATTGCTTGATGCTATTTTAGATATTCAACCTGAACTAGTGATTCTCAAATTGCGCACATCTGCACTCGCTGCAATTTTATCTAGAACACTGTTTTCGCGAGCGGTGCTACGTGCGTTATCGATCCAATTTTCACTAGAATCAACAAGATGGCGAAGAATGTAAAATTTTATCGACGTTTACTTTCCAAATTATTCAATCGGCTTCAAATTACCCCAAGATCTTGCAGATAAATGGCTTTCCTGGAAATGTGGATTTAGTTTGAGGTTATGATTATTCGGAGACCTGCAAGAAGATTGAACTTTTCCTATAGCACTCGAAAAAGGCATATATACCTAGAACAAAGGGCCAACATATAATCTGACAAACTATAAATCTAGCTGAGATACTCTTCGCTCTCCCTTGTCGACGTACTATCAAAGGAATTATAATTCTGCCCACTCTGCAGAGCACCCTTGCTGTCGAAAAAAATCGATAAAAGAAAATATTAGGTTGATGCAGAAATAATGAGCGTTTCTCAAATTTTCACTTTAACTTGCTATAACTTTCTACAACATCTACATTTTGAAATATGATAAAGACCATCAGATGCAGCGAACCTTTCGCAATACAGCGCACATTGACCTATACTCATATCTCATATGGGCAGAAAAATATGGATTGAAAAACAAAAAAAAATTTTTCTCTGAAGTCTTGTTTTTGACAAAACATAACTCCTTTCATACTTTGTTGTTACCATTTATATGCAGCCTATCTTGTAGCCACAAGCCAGTAGTACAAATATACATGGAAACGGTTTGGAGAAAAAAGATTAGCGAAGAGGGAAAAATCGAAATTCAAAAATATCAACTTTTTTAGCATTTTTTCGGGAGACCTCAAAACCCCGAAGTAAAGAATTCTTTAATTTTCTGCGTACTGAAAAGCTGGATGTTTTTGCAAAAACCGCTAATGGGACTCCTACCCTCACGCTTACAGGGATGAGCAAAGTTCGAGCGACTGCATTCCACAAAAGAAAGTTGTGGGCTCTAAAATGGCCATAACCATTATCCTTGTTAAGCCGCCGATATCTCACTTCAGATAACTTCAAAAAATATGGTTGAATATGCATGATGTAGACAATTTCCATCACATATAGCGGCTAAATTTTCGATAAACCATCTTCATTCGCGCTCAAATCCCGGCCAGAAAAATGAATGCAACAAAAATCTTGCTTTGAGTGCGATTATTTGAAGCTCTATAAATTCTTAACAGAGTGGGCTAAAAGTCCATTTCGAACACATTAGATAGAGCATGAAAAGAGCTTTCTAACAATGTGCATAAACCATTACAAAGAAAGAAGTTTGATTGAGAAATATTGGCCTGAATAAAGTCCTAGGAAAACGCTTATTATTTTTGCATCAACCTAATATTTCCACAAAGGGTCGTTTTTGTAAAAAAAGATACTACCTCAATTGTATAAACTTGCAAGTCGCAAACTTTGAAGTTTGATATATTTGTTAGTTTTCAATATCAGTCTTTCGCCCGCGGTGCATACTACTTCCACAAGTTTTTTGCGGAGCTCTCAAAAAGCGCATGTTTTTTTAGGTTGATATGCCGCACCTGGATATTTTCGCGGAGCAATTATCGGATACACAGCCTGATGAGCAGCCGGAAAGTTTAAGAGAGCAACAAACTCAGGTAGTCTGAAAATCTTAGATTTCCTTGATATAGCCAATCCACCTATTGACTGATAGCCACAATCTTCAACACGCGGCACCCTAAATTTCAATTCTAATTGCCCATCTTTCTAGTTTGCGTTCATCAATAAGGAACTTAGGGTTCATGTTGGTCTTGCCCATCTTTGGCAGACTCCGCCCACCCCGTTGCCTTCTGAAAGAAAATTCGCATTTGAAGCCATAAAAGCGGGTACAGATGACCGCGAACCTCAAACAAATTTAACTTCTGTCCCACTCCGTCAGGCAGGAATCAGCCCTCAATGGCAGTCTTTGCCCACTTTCTAAACTCCGAATTCTCAGCATTCAAGCAAATTCCAGCATTTTTGCTGAGTGGGTGAAACTTGCCACAAGGGACGAGATCGCCCCCCCCCCCCCCGAGGGCTTCCACAAGCTGCATCATTTTTTTGAGGGGAAAGCAAAAGGGAACCCATAAGTTCTACTCAGAAACCTGACGGAGTTTTAGAAAGCACAACTTTTTAGAAAGCACAAACTAACTTTTAGTGGGCTCGAATTTGAAGGTCTAATGTAATTTTACCAATTACGGGTAAAGTAACACGTTACAGCATGAATAGTGAACAAATCTGTGTGCAGACAATTTCAACGTGTCCAAACGCAATCTTTACGCACAAATATATAAACAATCGGTTTGCTTAAAACGGGTAAGCAATACTGAGCCACCATGGTGTGAATATCTGCGGCGATGTGCAAAATGAGTACAATTTTCATGATCAGCAAGTCAGATAATTTCCAGGCAGGTGTTTGATTTTAGCCCCTACCATATATCTACCGTAGCTTCATGAAAAGGTCCCAAAACGCACAAAGAGTATGATGCCTATGATTAGCATGTGAATAACCTTTCTAGACCGTCTTTCAACCAAGCTCAAGATTTTGTCACCCTACAGTAAACCTACCGTAACTTTGTGAGCGGCCCTATAACCAGAAAGAATACTATGATCGTTGTCAGCATGCAATAACACCCCTAAGCCACGTTCTAGCGACCGTAATTTTGATCCTTTACCACATCCTTAAAGTAGCCCCAAAAAGGGTGCTACCGCGCAAAAAATGGTAGTTAATCGGCATCAAAAGGTCGAGTGACCCCCCCCCCACTTTGGACCGAATTTGAGCAGGACCATTTCGAAATTCTGAAGCTCAGATACTGGAATAGCTCCGTTCAAATTATAACAGCATGGTCATCGACATTAAAATCGGATTTGAACAAGGAGTCTATAGAAACGGTGACTTGGCCAGTGAACCCTTGGGAGAAGTATTTTGTCATGGAAAAGTGGTGGAGGAAATAGTAGTGAATGGGAGGGGGAAGGCAAGAGGGAGGAGGGAGGATTTTTGAGAAAGATACTGAGTTTTTGGCATTGCGAAATGTTAAGAATCTGTGCAGCAGCCATGGCTTGACGAAATAATTCGAAAAAAAAGCTCTGAGATTCTGGCATGGAGAAGTTGAGGGTAACGCTGTGAACATTGTGGACGGAAACACTTTGAACTGGGGAAGAAGATAATGTGACTTTGGCAAGTAAGCTTTGAGAAAAGGGGATTTTGGAGACGGGATAACTCTTCTATTGATCATAATGTTTTAGGAGGCTTAGTGCATTTTGGCTGAATTATCGGAAAGAGAACTGTTATATAAGGCTAGAATAAGTAGAAAATTAGGCGCTCCAGATGCTCTAACGGAAGAGCCGCTAACTCTTCATGAAAATTTTACACGCACAATACAATAGCTAAAAGTCAAAAGAAGAAGAGCCACGAGAGGAAGCTTCAGAGATGAAAATTAAGCACTACTCCGTTATCTCATGCGCAGGGCTAGCCTAGAGAACGATTATGAGGTGTAGGGCATGCATGTCTATTTTCTAGAATAAGTTTCACTGGACGCGACATCTAGACAATTTTTTGTTAACCCTTTCGGACTTGGTGATGGCAATTGCCACCATCAATTCAGAGACCTCCTGTATTGCAGAATGAATATCATTTTACTACTTATTGCTATAGAACGCTTCATATAGCCTTTGCCTTCCAAATGCAGCTTTGAAATCGCGTGTTCATTTGTTTTCCTGCCAGCCATATATACATTCCTGAATGCATATCGATTGCAACCAATCCATGCCTTGCGCCGGTTTCGACACCGTTTTCAGTATCTCCTTTATTAACCAGAAAATAATCATAATATTATAAGAGTGTTTGGGTGCAATGTTGCGCAAGTGTAACGCTAATTGTTCGCAGGTCCGCATGTATCGAGGGAGGTTTAAATCCAAAATAAACGCAAAACTAAAAAATTGAAAAATCGAAAAAAAGTGGTTTATACGTTGAAAAGACTTCAAACATTGTAAGGTTATTCACGTGGTAGTGAGTATAAAACAGTGGGAGTGAGGCTTCTCTGCTTACTCGGAAAAACTTAGGTCCTATGAGGTTAATCTAAGCGTTCTTCTCCAACAATCGTACTCAAACAGTGGTCCATTTAAACTAGATGCGCACCATGCGTTTCCAACAGAACCTCCTAATCTAAACATGACTAAACAAAGTCTTTGAGCTTTTATAGCATTGAAAAAATCGATAATCGCGCTCTTGGCGACCTAATATGATATTTCCCACACTTGATAGGCACCTATTGGGCCATTAGTACACAAGACAATTACAAGACGATCGAACGAAAATACGCTCAGAGGCCGCGTACAGACATCTGTAGAAGGTTTTGATGTATAGTAGAACTTTGCCAAGAGTGGCATGCAGTTCGTTACATATCATCAAGTCATTTGTAACTTAGTGTGCGCAGTGCACACTAAATACGCTAAATGACGTACTGCGAAACTAGAACCTGCTCATTTCCAGTGATTTCTCCTTGTTTCTTTGTTTCTTTTGCTTTAATTGGTTACTAGCTGGCTTACCCGGCTCCGCCGTATCCGGACCAAACTTGGCACACATACACTTCGGGCCCCGGCGGGTGTCACAGTCCACTTTTCGTTATCGATCGATGTCGATTTTACCGATTTTTATCGATTTTTTTGCAGAGTTCACCTACAGGGCTAGGAGTTGGCACAGGGGGGGAAGTGAGCATGGGGATTCCGAATACAACATTAGTTTTCAGGATCGTCCATTACTTTTATCGATTTTATCGATTTTTTTGTAAAGTTTGACCTGCGGGGCTGGGAGTTTGCACAGGGGGGTAATCGAGCATGCTGATTACGAACACAATATTAGTTTTCAGGATCGTCCATTACTTTTATCGATTTTATCGATTTGTTTTGTAAAGTTTGACCTGCGGGGCTGGGAGTTTGCACAGGAGGGTAATCGAGCATGCAGATTACGAACACAATATTAGTTTTCAGGATCGTCCATTACTTTTTCGATTTTATCGATTTTTTGAAAATTTGAGCTAGGGAGCTGGAATTTGGCACAGGAGTATAATCGAGCATGCTGATCACCCCCCTTGGGGGTGATCAGCATGCTCGATTACCCCCCTGTGCCAACTCCCAGCCCCCTAGCTCAAACTTTGCAAAAAAATCGATAAAATCGATAATAGTAATCGATAATCCCGAAAACCAATATTGTATTCGGAATCCCCATGCTCGATTACCCCACTGTGCGAACTCCCAGCCCCGTAGCTCAAACTTTGCAAAAAAATCGATAAAATCGATAAAAGTAATCGATAATCCTGAAAACCAATATTGTATTCGGAATCAGTATGCTCGATCCCCCCACCGTGCCAACTTCCATCCCCGTAGCTCATACTTTGCAAAAAATCGATAAAATCGATATCGATCGATGACGAAAAGTAGCCTATGACACCCGCCGGGGCCCGTAGTGTATGTGTGCCAAGTTTGGTCCGGATCGGTTCAGAAATGGAATTTTCTATTCGGAACATACGTACACACAGACATACAGACAGACATACAGACAGACATACAGACAAACAGACATTCAGCTTTATATATAAGATAAGTCAGTCAGTAGAACACATTTCCACATTTTGTTAGGCTAGAAAATGTTTTACTGGGAAGAAAATGGGAAGTTACTAGTATGGGTGCCGTCGCTTATAAGGCTTGGTGTGCAAGCTCAAATATTGAGTTACAAATGACTCGAGGTTATTTTCTTAGTGCTCTGTTTTTTTTGCATTACACTAATAAAGCCGTTTGCATTACAAACTAATTAACTCTCGAAAGACACCTTCATGTCAAGGCGAAGATAGGCAGGGATCTCTAAAGCAAAAGCAAGAGTATCGCCTTTTTATTAAACTCAAAGTGACTGCTTGTAGGCGCTCAATTCAAAAGCTAGAATAATGACTTACAAAAGCATATACGTTTCAATTATACGACATAGAAAATGGGAGATTTCCTGGCCCTAAACAAACAATTCAGGCTTTTTCACCGGATAAAGCAAAAGAGCACCAGAACGAAGCTGAAACTGCTCGCCAATACAGAAAAGGTAAATTGCTTTTGATACTACCAAAACGTCTATCATTTCATTTGCTTTTATTTGGATTGGCATGACCTAGTATCTACTCATCCGCGTTATAAAGGTGAATGAAAGGGTGCAGAAGCAACTTTCATCAACGGTAAAGGTTATAACATATCATCAGCACGGGGATTGTCACCGGACGTATCAAAGTTTCAGTATGGAAGTAGAATCGAAGATCTCACTTATGACCAGCGTCGAGCAAGAGGCGTGGCACACAACCGCCGGATACGACCCTCTTCCTATCAAGTTCTGTCAACCCCCCCCCCCTCCAGCATACCGTTTGCCTGGCGTAGGCAAAGCATTGAGGGCATTATAGGGCATATTAATGTATTACACTACGGGATTTTGATTGTCGAGCTGTTTACGATTTGTTCTCTGAAATTCTCACTGGAGGTAAATTAATGGGGTGTTTCAAACCCCAGAAAAGCTGTGGATATCACACCTTTTTAGGGGTTGCACACCTCCTCCACCTCCTAACTTACCTTCAAACAATTTCAATAGCTGCATCTTTTATATCGTTGCTACTGCTTCCCTTCTCATTACATAATAGGATTTTCAATCGAAATCTTTCTTTCAAGGAGAGGGAAGTAGTTTTTACCTATGCAAACGGAAAGTGCTGCGACAATATTGGGTTTACTACGTGAATCGCGAGGGGAAACGACAAGAACAAATACAGGGTGTCCTAAAAGTATGTATGCACTATTTGATCGTTAATATCTCTCTTCTCAAGAATTCTTTTGCCTTGCTTCAGGTACCTTTTGTAGAGCTGGCTTCGACTTAGATTTGCAGTAAAGAACGAATCACCCATCTCTCTTGATTACTGTAGGATTACGGTAGAAACCTGAAACATATGGTGTCAATGTGAAAAAAGCTGCCGTTTCAAAATTTTTCAAAAAAATGTGAAACTTGTATAATAGGGTTTTTATGGACGCTGAGTTCAATATCCAACTATTCACAAGATTGCAAAGCTTTCTAAACGGTGTAACCGCACTTTTTAAGAACATTGAGAAAATGGCCGCTACCTCTTACCCGGCATAACTCTTCAATAAAGCATCATAATAAGTTGGGAACTTCACAGTTAGAATCAACAACTCTAATTGGCCTAGTGTAAAAGTTTTCAGGCTGTTTTGATTCCTTTCTGAGGCAAAATATGGTTTTTCATGGCCCAAAACCCTCTTTCGAGTTTCTACCGTAATCCTTCAGTAACGGAAAGAGATGGACTATACTGCAAAACTAAGTTGAAGCCAGCTCTACAAAACGGTACCTGTAGCAAGGCAAAAGACTTCTTGGAAAGAGAGATCTTAACGATCAAACAGTGCATACATACTTTTGGGACACCCTGTGTATTCGATAGCCTACTCATAATTTACATAAAATTGATTTGAGCCTGACTAGTCTTCTTTAGCCTGAGATATTGAAGACGAAAATAGAACAAAAGGAATTTTGACTTGCTTATAATCCGTTAGTTTGGAGGTTGTTTGAAGTGGCATTCCTAATGTAAGCGAAGAAGTAACCTTCGATCCAACTGGCTTGGCTCTTTTAGGGCGGGGTTTTGTGATCTAATGAGGCAGCTCGTGCCCGCGACGCGCTTGCGTCTCTCTCGCGCAAGTGCTCTCTGATCACTACCTAGCCTTGATTAGGTCACGAAGCCCCGCCCCTGCCGAAGCCAAGCCAGTTGAATCAAAGGTTATAGTGCATTTGAAAAATCATGACGATGGCGCTACCGCGCGCGACACGCACGCACCTTCCGGCAACCGCATTTTCTTAGTTTTAATCTCTACGCAACAGGTGCTTCTGCTTAGGTATGATGGTACTTAGACATTAGAAGTGACTGAGCTGAGCGTTGAGATGATGTCTTTATGTATGGGGGTGTTATGTTTCTGGGGGCGCAAAGACTGCAGTCGAATCCGTCATCACAATTTTATATATGAACCATAGTTGTTCTTTGTATTAAGTGCTAAAAAAGTAGTTGACTCACCTTCGAAACAAAGGTAACGTGTTTGGAATTTACCATCTCACTTGGCCGGCCCAGTATATGGAAACTTTAGAACTTGCGGAACTTGTCCCACAGGGGTCATTTGACATGCTAATTAAGACAATGATGCTCTCAAACTTTTAGTGCTCTTTTATTATGCTTACTGTACGTATACAATGGTAGACTGATGGGCTTATCTGACATTGTTAACGAATAACATGTTATCGCTAACATCGAAATTACCTTGATTACGACCTCCCCCCCCCTCCCCTCCCTGACCCCTCAATACGGCCCCCAGTTGTGGCATGCCACACTCCATGCTTGACCCTGTCTATGACTTCTCAGAGCCGTAGGCGCATGGAGAGGAGAGGATGGAGAGGTAGGCAATGTGAAATCTACACATCTGGAGCTTCAGAATATGAAGCTTTCTTTCAAGTTGCGATCCCCTCCCCAGCGGGGATGTTAGTGCATGCGGCCCTCATAAAGCGTATAAAGCGTATATGTATCCGGAACCTCTTTTCGTTTGTGCGAGAACAATGACGTGGACTTATTGTGTTGCCAATCAAAGCTAGAGTTGTACAAATTCATTTAACTTGATTTACTTGAAGGGCTTCAATGTCTACTTCGCTAAAAAAATTATTCAATTTCTGAATCTTGGTGACGTCGTCATTGCGGAATCCTTCACGAATAACAAGTTTACGACAACATGACCCACCGCTGATTCGTGCGTACCGCCGTTTCGGACAACTTTTCTTCGAAATAATATCTTCTAAACTTATACTATAGCCAATATACTCTCTGGCTCAATGGCAGAAATCGCAAAATTGGCCTGGTCTTGAATGTGTTACTAAGGATATGACGCGGTTTATGCTTTCTCCTAGAAATGTTACGCATCCGCGCACATCGAGTTGCAGTTGTGAAAATAACGTAGATCTTGAAGGCTGTGTCCCAGCAGATTTTGGTATCTTTCTACATTATACAAACCTTTTACTCCGAGTCCCGTTTTACTCGAATGCGGGCTTCCAAGCGCGTGAAAGGGCCTATTCGTAGCGTTTTAACAACTTCGAAAAGAAAGCCGAACGAGCATTTGGTTTTGGAATGTAAAGGGTCTATTTACGAAAACCTCGGCACCGGTAATTCTGGATAGCACAGCAATTGAACGAGTTGTAGTGTGGGTGTGTGCAGACTGAGTCGCTAAAATCGTAAGCGCTTATCAGACTGAAGCTCGTGCGCCGATTCAGAGGGCGTGTTTTCTACAGACATCGGACAGAATCCGATGTGATTTGGCCTGGGGACAATAGGTAAGCCTACCATCTAACTGTGTCCATTTTTCCGACGCTTCAAAATTGCCGGCACTGCCTCTAAAGGACATTTGATGGTTACTCAACATGAACTTCGTAAGCTGCATTTTTTAATCTTTCATTCTTTAAGGAGAAAGTGCTATTTTTGATGCTGCTAGAAAGGAAACAAGAGAGCAGGTTTGTTGTTGGTACCTTATTGTTAACTGTAAAAACCCTTGGAGTTTAGTTTGAAGGAGAATACGGCAACTCAAACACTACAACCTCATGGTTAAAATGCGCATGCATACACGGGGGTATCATAGTATTTTTTGCGAAAAAAATGGTTTTGAGGGTTCAAATTGCCTTTAGGTTTGTTTCTATTCTTTGGCTACTTTGTCTGTCGCTTCAACGTAAAAGGACATAATCTCCTTTGCAAATGACGCATGCGGCGCTCCTAGGTTCGCGCTAGGACAAAGACATGGCAATTTGGGTAGGCCCCCATAAACCACAGTTTGCGATTTGACTCCACGCGGCCACCTCGCTGGCTTGCGCCGTGAAGATAGTTTTCGCGAATATATCTCCCTAGCATTTTCCCACGCCTGCCTGCTTTCGTGCTGAAAAGACCAGGGTCGATAGTAAACCTGTCGAAACTCAATTATCTCTTTGAGTTGACTCTGAATTAGTCCTGAGCTAACGCATAATTTCGTGAACCCCCCCCCTCCCCTAACAGGTGCTTGAACAGACCAAATTTGAGAAGCGGTAATATGACAAGATACTCCGTAATCGGTAGTTTACCCTTAGAAGGAAAACATCGTCGAAATTGTTCTGCACAACAGAGTTAGGCCAGACTACGCGGCGTGACGTATGCAGCGTACGTGACGTATACCGCGTAAGCAGCGCAGTCTGGCCTGACCTAAACAGGCCACCAAGCTGAGCTTTATAACTCTGCGCTCAGTGCGAGTTCCAGTTTACCGTGAAACTAAGAGATAACTCTGGTTTTTGGTTAGAGCAGGAGAAGTAGTGCACAAAAAAAGAGGGGTATCCAAAAAGTCCTCCAGTGGCTGTATTCATCAACGTACCTTGAGGTTAAATTAATAAATCTAAATAAATCTACCTTAGCATCCCTCAAGGTAGAATTTAACCTCAAGGTAACTTTGCTATTCACAAATCTACCTTAAGGTTAAATCTACCTGGTATTTAGCTGAATACTCACTGACTCTCATTCAGGAGATGCCATGACGATAGCGGTGCATGAAGTTTTTCGCTGTTAGTATCCCTTTTGATTGCCAAATGAGTACAGACTTACATACTATAGTCCAACTGTCGTGTTTTAGCAGCAAAGCATTCTAAAACACCCGTTATATCGATAAAAAGGGCCCAAGAGTGCCGAAAAGCGCCTGAGTGCCAGAATGCTTCCTTCACGAGCTCGACTTTTGGCGCCGAAGCGTTAGTTTTGGAAACATATTGATTCTAGAACAACTACGCGTTCATTCACAATATGACACATCTTCTCACACTCAGTGTTAAGAAGCTTCACCATAAAACTGTTCTAGCTTTCTAAACTTTCACAACGCTATTTGCATGCACATTTTCGTTTTTTGAGTTGATAGTCTTTCGACCGCTAAGAGGATAGCTACCTGTACAAATTACTTTGATGCATAGTTCATAATCGTTGTTCGCACTTGATAACTTTGCAAATCAACACTGCTGAAATAACCCAGAAATTGATTGAACTCTGGCTTGATGTCATCATCATGGTTCCTAACTTACATTTTCAAAAGATAACGAGTTCCTCTTCCGCAATTCACAATTAGCTGTAGCGTTGACTGATGCTTTTAAAAAGGTTTGCTAAAGGGGCATTCCGGCGCTTTTGGGCGCTTTTGAGAGGTTTTGGGCGCGCTTTCGTGCTGAGTATAAAAGTCCCTATATAGGCAATCATTTCCATGATTAAGCGTTTCAACTGAGTTTTATCAGATACATACGCTTCATGACTATCAGAGTGTAAGTAGAGTTAAATTTGAGCTGCACCATATGAACCTCGACTTATAAGCCGATTCTGTCAACGATCGACATATATGTGCCTTTGCGCGCGAAAGATCTTGCATTTAACCCTCTCATGGAACTAACGATTTGAATGAACTTGCCATTGAAAAAATAGTATCTGTATGTGGCGTTTGTAGTCATTGATTGGACAAATAAAATTTTTACTCACATCAGCTGCAAAATAATCCTCCTGACCCAGAATTCAAAATGTAATGAAAAATCATCTTAAACTATACACCTCCTCTGCGCCACTTGCGACAATAATGAATGCAAAATTTAGAAGCAAGCCACGTTTAGTAGCTACAAGTTTGTCCGGAGATTGATGTCCGTTTTGAATTTGAGACGAAGTAAGTCATACTCTCATTTTTAGATAGTTGCAAATTACTGTTCAATAGAGCAAAGCAAGCTTTACAAGATGGCAATTTTGGCTACCTTCTTTAATCTACCTCGGATTTCAAGCCAGAAACTAAAAGATTCAATTGCCTGCAAAATTGAGAAAAATCCTAACTCATTCTATAGTTAAAGTCGAGTAGATTTTCCGCTTAATATAGTGTGCTTGCACAGAAAGTGGAATGCGTTAAATTTTGCGCTTGAACAAATAGCTGCGACTGTGACGCCGGCGAATTGCGCGCGCAAAAGGCTGGCATTACTGGCGTGGCTACTTGTTCACGCGCAAACTTTACCGCATTTCACCTTCAGTGCAAGCACACTATATTAAAGGCAGTGTCTCACCAAGGTTGAGGTCGCGGGGATCTTTACATATTCTATTATAGGGACCTCTAGATAGGCCATTGCAACAAGTCCCACTCAATTTGACCCCCTCTACGCTGAGAAAAATTCGCTCAAATTGGTACGCGGAGATCCAGTTGGTACGCGCGGACGACTCCTTCGGTCTCCCCCCTTACGCGTTTGAACATGTCCCTCCTCTTGGCATCCACCTCCCCTCTGTTGCTGCCACTGTGGCGGAGGCTGAAGTTGGAAGGTACAACTCGTCCACGTTGCTTCCGCGAGGTCTCCAGAAAACGGGGTTTTTGGGAACTTCGTGCGATTTTAAGCCCATACAGTGCTAGACAGGGTCCGACAGGCTTGCAAAATGCAAAAATTTCGGCAACTAAATTTTGGTGAGACACTGCCTTTAAGCTGAAAATCTACTCGACTGTGCCTAGAAAAATTCTGACTTGCTCACCTAAACAGCATCCAAATAAGGCATCTAAATACGTCATTGCCGTATTTTTTCTCGGAGAAATCAAAAAACGAAGATTTTTATACTTTTGCCAAAGTGATGTTGTGCTGTCCACACATATGTGATTTTATACTACTAACCTGTAGAAGTACAAACATAAATTCTCAGCTCTCTATAAGCTTTGGTTTTCGAAATATTCAGATTCTAGTATAGATCACCCGACTATAGATCACCTATTCCACTAAAGATCACATCACATTCAAGTGGAGCAGCGCGTCTGCAACGCCACTGGCTCAGCGAGACAAATTAGAATGAAAGGATGCAAACTGCAAGTGGCGCGAGTCCTTGCGAAGTGGACTCCCGTCAGTCTAATTTCCGCACAAACTGAGCTGAAACTCACTATAGTTATAGATATGTTTGTCTTTGAAAACTGTTACGTAAAAATTTAAAACGTCCTCAGAAAGAGTTCAACTCTTATGTGCAAAGCCAAGGTAGATTTTAACCCTAGCTATCCCAAAGTTGAGTTTTACCTTGAAAGCTTAATAGAAAGTTGATGGAGAAATGATGATTGAGGTAAATTTTAACTTCAAGGTAGAATGATGAATACGGGTTTATGCGTTCCAAGGTTCATTTCTACCTCAAGGTAGACTTAACCCATGAGAAAATATCATGTTGTGAATACGGTTTATAAGCCTAAATGCTAGCGGTAGATTTTAACCTCGAGGGTTCGTCGATGAATACCGCCACAGAGTACAGTCTTAGTAGTTATCGTAGTTCCAGCAAGCTTGATGGGAGTATCGTGGCGCTGTTATTTTTAAAATTTTGAAATCTTGTAAAATCTTGTCCCAGGGGGTTATTCGGTGCTCCAAACACGACTATGGTTTTCATTTTTATCCATGAGCTCATATAACGCTGCGTTAGGTTTAAGCTAAACCGGAGCAAATCGCAAAATTGACTGAAACTTGAACAGGTAGGGTTATTCGGTGCGCTAATCACGACTATGGTATTCATTTTATAATATACTGCGGTGACATCAAACGAGGTTAAGGTTATGATAATGGGCTAAAGTGACATAATTAGCTGAAACCTGGTACGCCGGGATTATTCCCGCTTAGCTAACGGACTGCCTATTCACTACTTCCAGCGTGTCATCTACAGAAATCACGGCAGGTATGTTGTAAGTGGGATAAAATTACAAAAACGGCTGAAAGTTAGCCGGTAGGGGTTTTTGGCTGACCACAATCTACAGAACCTTTCATGCGGCGGTGTCATCTATCAAGATACGGTATACACACGGTAAGTGAGCCACAATCGTAGTTTAAGGCCAAACTTTGCCGAGATAGTCTTTTCATTGCGTATGCTATCCGCTTCCCGTATTTGTTTGAAACTTTCGGCTGCGCAAAAGACCAGTTCGTGTGACAACCACCATTTCTCGATGAGAATGAAAATCATTGAAGTTTTTATAACATTTTTTCACATGCTTTGTGTTTGTGCAGTGATACATCAAATCGAAGCAATTCTATACTCAAGGGTGTGTAGTGGGCTAGTGGTTTACTTATAGAATCATCGCGCCTAGACCAAAAAGGTTCGCGTCCCAACTTGAACGTCGCTTTTGCAACGTGCACAACAGCTTCTCAAACGGCAAAATCGAGACAACGAGCTTGAAAGTGGAAGTTCGGAACTTTGAAAGCGAAACTCAGAGTTTTAATAAGGATTTCTCTGAGTTCCAAAAACAGTAGTGAGGAGTTATTTTTGAGTTAAATGCGGAGCTTTAAACTTGGAGTTTTGATTTGTAATATCGTCAGCCATTGACAGCCTTTGCGTGTGGCCCTGGCAAGAAGGAAATATGAATTATCAGTATTATCATATTGCTAAATGTGCGTTATGGCTAGAAGGAGTTGATACATGCGCAAGAGTCTTCATTCAAAAAAATTGTTTTTTTCAGTACCGAAAAAGTATGTATGTTCCCACAGAGCAACCAACACAGATGGAATGTATGAACTGAAGTTTAGCAACTTTTAATTTTGATCACCGTGTTACTAGCTGTATTTCATTTGGTATCTAATCTTTCGTGTGTCTTTAAGATCTCAATAGTTAGCGAGAATCTATCATCTCAATCATACACTGTATTGAAGTATTTTATTGCACATAATGCAAAATAAATCTCACTTATATTGTGTTTTGGATTTTGTAAATAAATCGGTTTCAATTAGAACCAGCATCCGAGCAAAAGATGTGAGGATGGATTTTTGTGTAGCACGGTAGCAGGTCCCTTGAGCCATTGTGCAAGCGCGATTGACAGATTTGACGTAGATAGCAAAAAAAATTGCTCTGGAAGAAGTTTGAACAAGCAAGCACTCCTGCACTCTTCATACCATCTGACCCAATATCAAACTCTCTCATTCCGATCAATCCCACCTGGCTTCCTAAAAGAGGGTCCAAATTTAACCGTTTCAAGCAATTCAAAACCCCTTTACTTGTCCAGCGCGACGTAAGCCCAATAAAGGCAGAAATTTATAAATTTCCGACTTGCTCGGCCTCTGTCTTCAATCATGGAGAGCCTTTTCATTCTGTCATCAATCCTTGCAGTTGTCACAGTCGCTGGCACTTTATGCGGTGATAATGATAGCGTCATGGTAACTGCTCTTTTTATAGAGATATCTTAGATCAGCAAGTATCACTTCGGAAAATATGAAAATTAATCGTGTCATAAAAACATCAATTTGAAAATTAATCATATAAAAAGTGGCAATTGAACAAAGAAAGTATCAATGGAATTGAAGTCTTGCACCAGAACAGGTACAAAAACTCTATAACTCATATACAGGGTGTCCCAAAAAAATGTGCCTACTGTTTGATTGTAAGTAACTCTCTTGTAATGAAGTGTTTCAAGATGCTTTAGGTAACGTTTTGTAGAGCGAGGTTAAACTTAATTAACAGTGTGGAGCGAATCATCTGTCTCTCTTCGTTACTGTAGGATTACGGTAAGAACTTTCAGCATATGGAATCAGTGAAAAATACCACCTAACAAAATTTTTTTCAAAAATTTCGAGAAACCGTGTATAGGGTTTTCGCGCATGCTGATTCCACATAACAAGTTTGACGAGTGTTTTGAGCTTTTTTGACGGTGTGATTACGTTTCTGCCAAATGCTGGGAATTGAGTTATTACGATTTACCGGGAATAACTTTAGAAAGAAGCATCACAATAGAATGGAAATGTCAAATTTGAAATCAGCGGCTCTCATTACCGTAGTATAAGAGTTTTTGGCTTATTTGGTTTTGTTCCGAGGCAGAATATAGCCTCTAATGGCCTAAAATCCTTGTCGAAGTTTGTGCCGTAATCCTACAGTAGCGAAGAGCGATAGATGATCCGCTCCATACTGTTAGTCTAAGTTTAACCTCGCTCTATAAAACGGTACCTACACCTTCTCGAAAGACTTTATTACAAGAAAATTATATACAATCAAACAGTAGGCACATTTTTTTGGGACACCCTGTATTTATCCTACGTTCTAGATAAAGATAAACATTATACGATAAAGCAAAGCTAAATCTACAAGACAGTTATCAACGATTTTCATCCTTGATCCAAGTGAAGTTTGAAGCCAAGAACTAGAACAACTCATGGGCCCTAAAACCCTTGAAAAATCTTCTCAAACCCCAACTTCTTTCGAAAATCTTACAAAAGTCTTTACGTGTCCGAGCATTTATTAGGTTTGCAATAAGTTCTGTCCCATTTTTTCTTCCAATCTTTTCACAAATTTTGCACGGTGTTTTGCAAAATGTATGAATGCATTTCAAAGCTCTAAGGCTGCTCTACTAAAATCTTCACTTCAAGCTTCAAGTTTGGAAAATCAAAGAGGAAAAAAATTCATTTCAGACAACTAATTTAAATGGTCCCTGTTTAGGTATGAATGCTAACAAAACCATTCGAAATCTGCTGAGCGTAAGGAAAGAATGCTATAGCTTCTGCAGAGGTTCAAAAGTGCAAAAAAAATTTCAGAAAAATTTTTTCAAACTCAGAAGAAATCTTCTTTCTAACTTCTTTTCGTTGTTGAGGTTGGGCATCTGAAGGCAGTCCTTAAAAAGGACGATAAACGGATAATCCAGAAAAAGTAGTAGGAATGGTCTTTGGCTATCAAATCATCGAATTCATAGGTTAGTTACTCAAAAGTTCTATGTTTAGAGGCCACACCAATTACACGAAATTCAGTGTTTGGGAGCCATACAGCTTAGGCAGGCGAGCCGACGAACTTTGCCACAGCAAATTTTTGCTCTGCCGATTTCTGAAGAAATAGCATTGAAAAGTCGGTAAAAGGAAGGGAGCAAGCACAACAGTGACGTTACAACCGTAAGAGTCTAATAGGTTGTTTTGCTGTTGTCAGGCTTGTTATAAAATTTATCAATGGAATACGGGGAAATTTGGAGAGAAAAAAGATGTCGAAATTGGATTTTTTGCCTGTTCGAATTTATCTTCTAATGCCAATAATCGTTTTCAGAAGCCTGCTAATTGGGGATGGAGCATACGAGTTTGCAGAGAAGACTTAGAGCTTCCAAAAGCATATGCACTTTACTCCAAATAGGGTATTTATTACTGATATATCGAAAGAAAGTGGGACAGAAGTTATTACACACCTATGCGGTATCTTTTTTTTATATTAGGTTGTTTCAAAAGTAATTTCGCTTTTTTCAAACGGGCACCACATGTGATGGAACAAAGGTTTTTAAGAGGTCTTGGAAGCGTTCGATGCAGAATTTCATTCTCTTTCTAATGGTTATGAAATTTTTGCAAAACAATCAATGAGTTTTTAGAAAATAACTAAAACCTGCGACCCGTGCTTCTTGAGATAGTCAAGTTTCACGATTTTTAAAACTTTCATATCTATCCTCAGAAGGAGTTCAAGTATCGCCTTTTTAGAGCAAGCCCTACAGAATGCAAAACTACTTTTTTCTCCTTTCCATAGCTTGTCCTACATTTTTAACAGATTTTTAAGTGATGCTACCGATTTCCATACTTGGGCAGCTAAATCCTCGTAGAACATCAAAAGAAGAGCAGCTCGCGCACTATTCGATGCAGCATTTTCTCCTCTTTCTAACAGTTGTTTTTTGTTTCCGATTCGTTTAGTTTCCGGAGATAAAATCATTATAACTCATTTTTTAGCGAGCCCCAGGCTGTACCCGAAAAACTCGAAATTTGATATTTCGAATCCGTAAACTCTCATTAGCTTTATAAAATCAATATTAAGTCATTTATCATCTTGAAAGCTTGAGATTCCGAGAAATTACTGATGTTGGATGCGATTGTGGCTTAGGTGGGCCTGCCAAAATCCGATGGTTCTGCTAAAAAATCTTTTAAAAAGTTACGGCGAGCTAAGAGAAAGAGAAAAAAGCAGTACTGTATTATGTAAGGCTAAGTCTATCGAATCTTTACTTGAACTCCTTCTGAGGATTGAATACGAAAGTTTTGAAAAATCGTGAAACTTGACCATCTCAAAACGTATGGGTCGCAGATTTTGATTATTTTGTGAAAGCTCGTTGACTGTTTCGCAACGGTTTCATAACCATTAGAAAGAGAATGAAATTCTGCATTCACAAAGCCTCAAAGATCTCTTGAAAGCTTTGTTCCGTCAAGTGTGGCGCCCGTTTGAAAAAAGCGAAATTACTTTTGAAACGACCTAATAGAAGTTGAGGAAACGAGGTTTTCGCACAAATCAAAGCTGAGCTGCTCTTACATCGGCAGTTGTGTACTACAAACATTTGCAAGTACAATCATGAATTTCTAGTTCCTCACCACGGCTTTGCGAGAAGTATCGAATTTTGGCAGGTTGACATGAAAAATCGAAATAAGAGGAGCAAAATTGAATATTGTTCGTAAACTAGCTGTTGTAAGGACTGAAATTCACGGTTGTCTTCTAGAAGCATCTAATATACAGCTACGGTATAAGAGAGCTTCTTACTTATTTGTCAAAAGCATGGAAATTTTCGTTTTTTCAATCTATAGAAAAAAACACGGCAGTTGCATAAAAAATGTCTGGTATGGAATGTATATGCGTGAGCAAGTCAGATACTCGATTTTTTGTGATTTTTTTGGGGTTGCAATTTTGCCTCAATTTTTCGAAGCTTATGGATACATGGATTTCAGTTCTTGGCTTCGAAGTTTGCGAAGTTTGAGTGAGGCTGCAGCAAAGTTTTAGAACTGTCTTGTAGAGCTTGATCTACTCTATCGTATGATATATCGCAACCTATCTAGAATATAACACAGATGAAGGTACCAGCCGCTCTGCCGCTAAGCGGCAGGTTCGGCTTGTACTCGGCAGCTTCGCTGTTTCGTTAATTTTTCGTTCTACAATTAGGGTGTAAATGTGAAAATTTGCAGATTTGCCATTTTTATTCGATTTATAACCTGTGCAGAGAGAAAAACTGAGGACATTTGGCCAACGTTATAAGCAACGTATATTACCTAGAGTGCAAAGTTTCGCTCAGATTCCTTGATTCTTTCTATTATATTATATCGTTCTGAAAGTAATGTCGCTTTCAACTGAAAGCCACATTTCGTGAAACTATATTCTAGGAGATCTTGGTGGCATTCGGTGCAGCATTTTATACTCTTTTTAAAAGTCGTTGTTGCAGCATTTGAGCTCTTGAAGCATTACCAAAGTGTGCTTCATGCTTTTTGAGATGGTCAAATTTCAACCTTTTCCAAACTATTTCATCGACCCTCCGAAGAACTCCATAACGATTCGATAGAGCAAACTTTGAAGGGTACTGTAGAACTTTTCTCTCTTTTCCATACCTTACCATACTTTTAAAAGATTTTGTACTACAATCATCGGATTTTGGCAGGGCCTCCGTTAGCCACAATCGCATCAAACAGCAGTAGTTTTACGGAATTCGAAACTCCAAGAAGTTATTAAAATTTAACACTGATTTTACACAGATGAGAGTTTACGGATTCGAAAACACTTTTCGAGTAAAGCTTGGGGCACGTTTTAAAAACATGAGTTTGTTTCCCCGAAGAGTCTATCGGAAACAAAAAGTATTAATTAGAAAGAGAGGAAAAGCTGCGTCAAATAGTTCCCAAGCTGCTCTTCCTTTGATGCCCTATGAGCTTTTAGTTGATTGAAAATTGGTAGCATCAGTCGTAGTTCAATT